TGGTCCTTGGTGAGGATCTGGGAGTCTTCAGGGTTGGGATGCGAGCTTCTCCCTGACCTCCCGCTCCACTCTGGGGTCTCCCTCCTGCTCCATACGCATGACCTCCTGTTAAGAAGCTGTCAGTATCGCTCCCGATTCCCCCCTTATGCCTTATGCCTTTACTATTTTCTAGTGCCGACTCGAGTCTGTTGTCTATGAGTTACCAGATTTGATCCTGATAGGCTATATTTTACGTCTTCTTCTCACTTTTTAGGGAGATGAAAGATTTCTGTGCCAGAATGTGTGAATCTTACGGAAGACACAGACTTGCAGTCTGCAGCGGGGATGGAAGACAAGGGCAGGGAAGGAGTGGAACAGGACAGAACAAGGAGCTATGCTTGGTGCTCAGTCCCAGAGCCTCCTGCAGCTAGAGAGGCGGCCGACAGCAGCTGCGGGGATTCCATCTCACAGCCAAGAGGAAGCTGCTCCAGGCTTTTCTGAGAGCTGCCCTGCGGCGTGGCACAGGGAATGGGGAGAAGGGCAGATTCAGGGTAGTATTTTATAGCAAGAGCTAATGGACACTCATGAATTTGCACAGATGGGAGGGGCCAATGAAGAAAGAGAAAGCTCAGACATGAGCATTTTTGGGTTTGGACTGGAATGCTTTTCCAGGTTAGAAGCAGGGAGCCAGATGGGAAGTGGAGTAGCCGGTGTCTGAACCGGTGCCCATTTGGGATCCAAGCATATGCAAGGTGAGAACTTTGGCCAGTAGGCTACTGCACCAGACCCTGTTTTATTTTATTTTTTAAAATAGTTATTTTGGGGCCCAGTGCAGTGGCCTAGTGACTAAAGTCCTCACCTTGTACATGCCAGGATCCCAAATGGGCACTGGTTCTAATTCTAGCACCCCTGCTTCCCATCCAGCTGCCTGCTTGTAGCCTGGGAAAGCAGTCAAGGACAGCCCAATGCTTTGCATCCTGCACCCACGTGGGAGACCTGAGGCTCCTGGCTTCAGATTGGTGCAACACCAGACGTTGTGGTCACTTGGGGAGTTAATCATTGGACGGAAGATTTTCCTCTTGTCTCTCCTCCTCTCTGTATATCTGACTTTGCAATAAAAACAAATAAATCCTTAACAATTAGTTATTTTTATTTGTTTGAAAGGCTCAGCTACAGAGAAACAAAGATCTCTCACTTCTGGTTCACTTCTCTAGCTGCTGCAACAGCAAGCGCTTGAGCCGGGCTGTACCTCAGCACTGAGTCCAGAAAATGTCCTCTCTTAAAGCTGAATGGCACGGCAAAAAGAGTCGCTGCTCTGACGACCTAATGAATAGCTTGCATTACCTTGTGAAAATGGGATGTACACGTATTTGCTTCAAAATAGCTTTGTCCCATTCCCCGTGGCATCAAGGCGGTCTCCCCTGCCTCCCGCTCGGTCCTCCGTGTGTTTTATCAGGACATGTGCTTGACACTGTGAGAAAGGCTTAAGGAATGAAGAAATGGAAGATTTTGTTCTCACACTTAAACTATATGTGACATTTACGTGGTAGTATAGACCCAGGAGAAGGAGGAGAAAGGAAAAAAAAAATTAGTGTAGCTAAAAATAGGAGATGATTTTCCAGAAGAAGCCAGGAATGTACAATTCTCCTTTAAAGGACACTGATGAAGGTAACGATGGCCGAGTGTGGCTTCATTTGCCCAGGAGCCCCTGCAGAGCAGGGCAGCCTGGAGAGGTGCAGTTACTCCAGCTGCTCGACCGAGGAGCAAACACCTGCTGCCTCCGACGTGTCAGATGCTTCGGTGATTGAAACCTCGCTTCAGCCTTGCTGGCCTTCCAAAATGCGGATCTGAATGCTGCTTTATTGTAGCACTTTGCTGATGAGGAAACAGGAGAACATTTAAGGCTGGCAGTAGACCCCGCTCTCGGGATGAAATACTGCGTGTGGGCAAGCAACAGTGTCACCAGCAGCCGGCTTGCCTGGGTTCTTCCCCACCACGGGAACAACGAATTACAGCTGAGAGGCGTGAAGGCAGGGCTCCAACGGCAGTTTATCGTGTGTCTGAGGAGGGAAGGATTTCGGATGAGAGCAGGTAGCAATCTTTCTTCCTGGTTTGGGACTTCTGTCCCTGAGGCGTGAGGGGCATTCGCTGCCAGTGTGCCCATGGTGCCCTTGAACGGCCTTGGTGACTGGCATCTGTGCACACGGCTGCAAACCAGACATTTTTCTGCTTTGGCTGAGCTCCCATTTTGATCAGGACATCTTCAGCACGAGTTCAGCCTCAGAGTGGGCAGTGTGTGGTGTGTTCTGATGAGGAGAAGGGTCCTTGGTTCACCCGTGGGGGAGCGGCTTTTGCCTTCTCCCCACTCACCATGTCTGCCAACAAAAGCGCCGTCGAGCATTGCGCCTGCTACCCAAGAGCTGCTTAATCCGAGGATATTTGATTGCCAGCTCCTGTCATGGTAATCGTCATCTTGCAAGCATTTCCTCTCAGTACTTCGCAGAGACAGGTAAAAACAGACGACCGTCGCTGCCAAGAACAGTCCAAGAGAAACATTAAAATGAAAGGCTACAGTCAGAACGCACGTGACAGTGTTGTCTGTGGGAGTAGATGCACGCCCTGTCTTCGGCCCCTCACTGTCCCTCGCCTGTGGAGGACAGCGGGCCCTGTCACCAGGGGAGCCTCCAGGCCAGTGACTCAGTGTGGCAGCGAGAGGAAGCAGCCTTCTCAACGTAGTTGTTAGAATTATGGGCTTCTCTGCTCACAGAAACACCTTTTCAAAGCTTCGCTCAAACACTGCCTCCACCGACCAGGCAACTCTGAGGCTCCAAACATGAGTCATCAGTTCTTCAACGCAAGCAGCACCGGGAAGGGCAAGCTCCTGCTGGAGGCAGGACTGACCGATCTGGTATTGAATTGGAGAATTCCCAGGCAACGTGATGGACACTTAGCGCAGAGTGGCAGAAAGCCAGGGAGGGCGTATCAGTTTTGTCCTGCTCATTCTCCGCCCATTCCTCTTACCTGTAGTCTGTTAACTACATTTGGAATCTTTGAACACGCCAAGCATGCTTCTGCCTCTGGAATTTGCATCTGCTATTCCCTCTGATAGATGTTCATCCTGAATCCACAGGGTGGGTTCCATTCTCTCTTTCTCCACTCAGATCTCTGCGCTCAGCTCAGCTCCCTTGAGCGGCTTTCTGTGACCCTGTGACAAGGTCACACCCTCCCCCTCTTTGTGCAGGGCCACGTGTATTGCGAATCTTTTCCCATGACCCGATTGAACACAACATATCACTCAATGGCATGTTTGTGATCTTGGCTCCTCCAGAGAAAGGACTTTCACTCCTTGCTGAATCTGTGGATCCTACGAGAGTTCCTGACAGCTGCTCGACCCTCCACAATCTGGATCAATAGGAAGGAGCCAGGAAAGACTTCAAAAGGCCATTGTAGCCTAATGAAATCCAGTGGGCTACAGATGGAATCTGGGAATATAGGTGGAGCTGGGTTCACAGTGGGCAGGATGGAAATGGCACAGCTTGACTCCCTAGCTAGTCGTCAGGGCTTGAATTTGGCTTCTAACATGGGAAGTTGTTACTCCCAGCAGCTGCTTCATCTACTGTGCCACAACACTCACCCTGAAAGTGAGGTGTTTTTTGTTTGTTCATTTTTTGAGACAAAGAAATATCCATCTGAAACCTTTACAACTGAACATGTACCTTGGGGATCTGCTGAGTAAGTGTCTAATTTTTTTCACTTGAGAAAATCTGAAGCATAGGAAGGCTGCTCATTCGGTCATTCAAAAACGTGGGACGAGATGAAATGACACATCACTCAACACTGGAACTGGAGTCTCAACCCATTTAAGTCTTCTTTGCTTTGGACGACATGCTCTCAAAAGTATCCTGACAATTTGGCATTGTTTATCTCCTCTTTATTTTTCCTGAATATTTATTTTTACTTGAAAGTCAGAATTTACAGACAAAGTGAGACTCTTCCATTTGCCTGTCCACTACCTAAGTGGCCACAGTGGCTGCAGCTGGCCAATCCCACCTCAGGAGCTTCTCCCGAGTCTCCCACGTGGGTGCAAGGTCCCAAGGCTTTGGGTCACCCTCAGGCTTTTCCAAGCCACAAGCATCACCCATTCCAACAAAGCGGTATGTATTTAATCATCTCTCTTGGAGAGACACATGGGTAAACCTTCAAGTCCCAAGGCTCTAGACCGGGATGGAGAAAGCCACACCCACTTTGTTTTCAGGAGGCATTTCTAAGTGGGCACCATTGCATGGACACTAACATGGAAAATGTCAAAAAAACGAAACTGCAGGTTGCAGGATGACACTTGAGCGCTCTGCCCTTTTAGACTGATTCCTCCCCTCCCCCCGCAGGCCTCTTGTCAGAACCACGAAATCCGTGGGGATTAAACGCACACAAATCTCTTCACAATGGTGCTCAACTAGCACGTGCCAACGCCTGGTTCTGCAGAAGAGCTTCTTTCTATTTTATTTTTTTCCTGTAAGGAGAACGCATCATTCATTTACGGCTTTTCCATTTGTTAGCTGTTAAAACGAATCTCTCCAGCACACATCGCGATTTCTATTTGTATCTAATGAGTCGAAGAGAATCGACAGGAAGCGACTGTGTTATTAAGGCTGTGATGAAAGAGAAACCTTTAAAACCAACAGACGGTGGGCGCGAAAGACAAAAGGAGCAAGCTCTCGCTCCCGGGCCAAGGCGTGCAGCGACGGCGGGGAGGGGAACGGGACCGACGCCGCACGCCCGGAAGCTGGCCGCGCCGGAAGGCCAAGTCAAAGGACCCGGTGGGGGCGGGGCCGCGTCCGGTGCGCAGGCGCAGCGGGCCCAGGTGGCTGCCGCCGCGGAAGCGAAGCCACCTAGAGACGCCGCGCCGCGGGTCGAGGCTGCGCGTGCGCAGTCCCACGTCCGCCGGAGTCTTCCTCCTGGCCGCCACAGAGCGCCGGGTCGCGGCCCGCTCGAGTTGCCGGGTCCCGGGTTTCCCGCGTCCGGCCGTCGGTGGCGGGCTCGCGGCCGCCTCAGAGCCCCGCAGCGGGCAGCGAGGCGGGGCGGGGGTCGCGGGGGCGCTGTTGGCTGGCGCCTTTGAGGGGGCGCCCCGGCGGCCATGTCGGCCGGCGAGGTGGACCGCCTGGTGTCGGAGCTGAGCGGCGGGACCGGAGGAGATGAGGAGGAAGAGTGGCTGTATGGCGGTACGAGCTTCCCGTCCTTTCCCTGAGCGCGGGGCCCTGCGGGTGGCGCGGCGCGGCCTGTCCCCCGAGGCCGAGCGCGGCGGGGCCGCCCGGGCCGCCCTGGCCGCCCTGCCCGGGCCTCCGCGCCCTTTCTGGGCCTGCCCGGCGGCGGCGACGGAGGCCTCAGGCCGCCCTTCCTCTCCCGAATAAAGTCAGTGCCTGAAACCCACGTCTGGTGCCTTGGCCGTCAGCGTGCGTGAGGTGCACCTGCCAGCCCGCCGCTCCCCACGGCCCTGCCTGGAGAGACCCGGACATGGGCGTTACGGCCCCTAAGGGGGTCCCTGACGGCTGCTGCGGGCCGCTGCGCGCTTTCCTTTTTCTAAGGGACTGCCTTTAGCTCGCCTCCAGCTGGCTTAACGTTTTCAGTATTGTATCCTATATTGCTCTTCCCAGAATAATGCTCCTGCATAAGGTGTCGTGTTGGACATTCTGAATTTTAGCTTTCAGTGAATTACACTGTTGCCTGTTACGCGAGGTTTAGACGCTGACATATGTACATATATATGCAAATACATATATTTTTTCCCCTTTCCTGGAACGTGATTTCTTGATTGTTTTTAGGTCAGCACAGTGAAGGTGTTCATGGGGCGCCAGGCTGCTCCACGGTGATATAACTTGGATAACTTTCAAAATAAAAATGAAAAAGTGGTAGTCTTGCAAGATCTATCACCACACTTTGTTTTGAAATGTGTACGTGCAGGCTTTGTTGTATGAAAACCTGCAGATCCTCAGAACACACTGTGAAGCTCATTTCCCCAGCCGTAGCGTCCGATTCCTTTCTCCCGTAAGCTGTGTCTTGTTGGGTACTGGTGGGCCGTGCTAACTCTGTGTGTGCTTGTAGGCCCCTGGGACGTGCAGGTGCACAGCGACTTGACCAAGGACCTAGGTCAGTGCTTGGGGCGATGGCTTGGCGTTTGTGGGGTCCGGACTCCTGGAGTCGTGTCTGTGCTAACGTACTCCTGTGTTTCATTTGGTAGATGAAAATGAAGTGGAGAGGCCAGAAGAAGAAAATGCCAGGTCAGTGAACTTCCGCTTCGGCGGATTGCTGGGTGCCACCAGTGCCGTGTCAGATTGCGTTGTCACAGTGCTGGGCTCCATCCCATATTAGCCTAAGCTGCTTTTTAAGGAACCCTGAAGAGGATTGCTTTTATAATTTATTAGTATGTTTGATAGTGTCATGTGCTGCTAATGATTTCAGTGTCCTGGGTTTAAAAAGTGGAGAACTTGCCAGTAACACTCTGGATGCTGTATCGAAAGAAAGCAAGACAGGTGCTGGTGAGGCTGCGTGGAATCTGACACGCTCCCACCGTGGTGGGGTTGTGCAGTGGTGCGGTGGTCTCCTTACGTGATTGCAGGTAGAGCTGCTGTATGACTCAGCCAGTCCACTCCTGGGCTGGTCCCCAACCAGCTGAAAACCTGTCCGTCAGTGTTGACAGTAGCGTTAGGCAGGAAAAGTGGCAGCAGTCCCCATGGCCACTGACAAGGAGTGGCAGGGTAAGGGTGGCGTGTCTGCCATGGAGTGCTGTTGGGCCGTGAAAAAGACTAGGGGTCAGATGAGGTGCCTGGATCGCGTGGCGCAGGACGTCTGAGCCCTCCAGAACAGCAGAAGAGTGGGGAGGGACAGTAAGTGAGTGCTGGGCGGGGTGCACACGGTGCTTGGGGTCGCTTCAGTGAACACACAGGAGCTGTGCAGCTGTGTCCCCCGGTGAGTGGACTGGATGTGAGTCCAGTGAGACAAGAAACGGCGGGGCTGAGGGAGAGCGGACGGTTGAGGGGTCTTCCTCGTCCAAGTGGATTGCCTGTGTTTTTCAGTCATCACCGTATCAAATGTTTTCGTTTAGTTTGAGGTTCATATTGTCAGCTCTGTTTATAACCCCAATTTCAACTACAAAATTGAGATTAGTATATTTTGTAGTTAGGGAAGTCATTAGCTATTTGTACCTGTTTCAGTTGGAAAGTAAGTTACTTGATCACAAGGTATGGGTTCATAGCTACACTCTTCACTAGGAAATTTTCTTTCTAGGTTTGTGTGGCTGGATTTGCTTTAGTCAGGATTATGTTATAAAGCCTGCGATGGACATTGAGCTGGTTTGTGTAGAATGCTGGACAGCAGAATGTCGTGCAAGGAGCTCGATGCAGGTCCTCGACGAGAGGCCAGAGCCCTCACTGCTCTGTAGTCACCCAGTGGTTACTTCCCTATTGCCAGAGTGTAAGGAGCTTGTTGGTAATGGCCATATGCTTAAATTTTAACAAAATGGGCATGCTTTACTGGTGTCTGTCAATTTTGCTGTGAGAGAAGAGGTTCATGTGGTAACTGGCCTTTAAAAGTGGTTAGGTTTCCAGTTCATCAGAGGAAAAGCGCGAATTGATCGCTGACAGATTGTGCATGCAGTTCTCTTCTTGTTTCATGTCCGGGGTCGGGGATAGCAGAAAATCAGGCAGGTTTTACTCTCCCCTGGGGACGGTGATTTGGGGGAACTGTTTTGACATTGCCTTAAAATGCCAGTCAACCTGTCGCAGCTTCTGGGCCGCAGTTTCTGACTTGCTGCATGTTGTGTTGTAGTGCAAATCCTCCGTCTGGGATTGAAGAAGAAGCCGCGGAGAATGGCGTGCCCAAACCGGTGAGGAGTCTTTGGTGCCCAGTCACTCTCCTGTGTAAAAGCTCTGTGACCTCATGTTGGCTAGAAAGAAGGCCAGTCTTGACCACGAGCCTCGGCGTCTTACCTGAGCTACAGCCTCCAAATGTCTCCTCAGCTCGTGCCCTCAAAGGTGGACGTGGGAGTGAGGAGGAGGAGAGGCAGGGGCCCTACCTCAGGGGGCACAACATGGCCAAGGTTTGACACTCAGTCACCTGTCAGTCATACAAATCATGGAGTGATTTTCAGAGCCAACGTTGAGTCCCACAACCAAAACAGTATTAAGTATTCTTTTCAAATGTGTGCTTTAACTTTTACTGTGTTTTAGTTCTTCCAGGCAGAGAGATAGAGTTTCCATTTATTGATTACCTCTGCAAGTCCCTGAGACCACTAGGAGCTGATCCAGGGCCAAAGCCAGTGTTGTTCTCCCACGTTGGTGGGCCCTCTGGGCAGCTGCCTCCAGGGTCAGCATTGGCAGGCCTGGGGAGTCGGAAGGAAGTGGCCATTGCTGAACGAAGGCAGGCTCTGTGGTGGGATCAGCTTGCTGACCGTCTGGCAGTGTCGCACTGTGAGAGTCATTGCCCAGATGGCAGTGCAGCTGGCGCAGCTGGCGTGAGGAAGGGAAGCAGCGTTGGTTTATGCTGCTTAATCCAGCGGAAAGGGAAACTATTATTATATACACTGAATTTGGGTTCCAAAAAGTGTTTCCCTTAGGTTTGTCTGCTGATTTGCCATTAATGTGAATAGGCTTAAAAACAGCCTTTTAATCAAAATAAAAGCTTCCTAAATAACCTGCTTCCACTCGGAGAGCTACAAGGCTTCTCTGAGCTTGTGCCCACGGGTGTGGCGTTATGCCAGCGGTCATACACAGCTCTTAGGCTGTTGGTACTTTGCATCCATCGCAAGACTTTTTTTTTTTTTTTTTTTTTTAAAGATTTATTTTTATTATTTTTTATTGGAAAGGCGGATATACAGAGAGGAGAGACAGAGAGGAAGATCTTCCGTCTGATGATTCACTCCCCAAGTGAGCGCAACGGGCCGATACTATGCCGATCCGAAGCCAGGAGCCTCTTCCGGGTCTCCCACGCGGGTGCAGGTTCCCAAGGCCTTGGGCCGTCCTCGACTGCTTTCCCAGGCCACAGGCAGGGAGCTGGAAGGGAAGTGGGGCTGCCGGGATTAGAACCGGCGCCCATATGGGATCCCGGGCGTGCAAGGCGAGGACCTTTAACCACTTGCGCCACAGCGCCGGGCCCCATCGCAAGACTCTTAACCCCACTAGACTCTGTTTTGCTAAGAATTTCACAAATTTTATCTTGTAAGTATCTCAGTAGATTGCCCTCAATTTTTTCCCCCCCAAGAGAATTATAAATACTAAAAATCACATAAGGTATGACCTACTAAAAAGATAATGTTGGGAAAAGGACTTTATTCCTATTTCTTTTTACCATGTAGGATATCAAATTGTTACAAATTAGTTGAAATTTGTGAGCTTGTAACTTTTTTCTTTAAAAACTATTTCAGGAAATATTGGTGACACATTTTTTAGTTATTAATATTAGATATTGAAATGGAGTATTGATGTGCTTCATTTGTGTATTCTGGTGTAGAAAGTGACCGAGACAGAGGATGACAGTGACAGTGACAGTGATGACGACGAGGACGATGTCCACGTGACCATCGGAGACATTAAGACGGGAGCGCCGCAGTATGGGTGAGTCCCCGGCCACTCGGGAGCCATGGCGGGAGCTGCCTGAGCTGTGCGAGGAGAGAGTGCTGGTTCAGACGGCATCGTGAAGATGCCGCTTTCCTAAAGATTAAGTTAGGTGTTCGGGAAAGCCACTGCGGGCTATGCTTCCTGTGTGTAAGTCGGCTCAGGTGCATGGTGACCTGTGGGGTTTGCTTGTTGTGGTTTGTGTCTGTGTTTGTCATTCCTGCTCTTTTTCTTTGGGTCTGATAAAAAGAGTGGCTTTCTGGGAGGTGAGGGTTTATTCTCGAGCTGTCTGATCCTCTCAACTTTTAAGGCCATTGTGTTTGTCGCAAGTTTTGTATTAGACAAGGCAGACCGAGGGAATAGATTGTCAAACACTGAGCACTTGTAGAAAGAAGTGGACAGGCAAGAAGAATCAGGGTTTTATTATGACGATGAAATGACGATGTGTTTCTTTTCTTTCTGTAATATAATTGTAGCTTCTGCACTTGGCACATAAAATCACTCCATTAATTTCTGTGTGTTTCATTAGGCAGCTTCATCTGTAATCAGCTGTTTTGTATACATACATGCATGCTTTTTTAGTCACCCTTTTCTCAACAGTCATTGCTTTCGGATGCCTAATTGTGTTGTCCTTGCCGGGTTGCATCATAGTAGTAACTACCTTTGTAATGTACAGATCCTGCTAACGTATTCAAGGAACAGCCTAGACAGGGACCTCTGTGACTCATGCTGAGGGAGATGCTCCTTTTGCTTTTCTTTATTATTTTTTAAAGATTTATTTTATTTTTATTATGAAGACATACAGAGAGGAGGAGAGACAGAGAGGAAGGTCTTCTATCCAATGATTCACTCCCCAAGTGACCACAATGGCTGGTGCTATACTGATCTGAAGCCAGGAGCCAGGAACTTCTTCCGGGTCTCCCATATGGGTGCAGAGGCTTTGAGCTGTCCTTGACTGCTTTCCCATGCCATGAGCAGGGAGCTGGATGGGAAGTGGAGCTGCCAAGATTAGAACCCGTGCCCGTATGGGATCCTGGCGTGTTCAAGGCGAGGACTTTAGCCGCTAGGCCATGCCGCCGGGCCCTATGCCAGCCCTTTTTAAAAGACATTTATTTATTTAAAGGAGTTACAGGGAAAGATAGAATCCTTCCATCTGCTGGTTCATTCCCCAGAGGGTTGCTACAGCCAGGCTGCAGCCGGGAGCTTCATCTTGGTCTCCCATTTGAGTGAGAAAACAGTTGGATTGTCTGCTGCTTTCCCTGGGTCGTTAGCAGGGAGTTGGAGTGGAAGAGGAGTGGCCACAACACAGACTGGCACCTGCATGGGTTGCCAGCTTTGCCTCCTGCCCCACAATGCAGGCTCAGAGATGTGGCTCTGATGTCACGTGGCAGAGCAAGGGGTGCCAGCAGCTGTTTCTGCAGTTATGCAGAAGAAGCACTTGTTGACAAGACCCACCAGGGTAGCATGGTGGGTAAAGCCCTCAGCTTACACATGCCAAGATCCCATATGGGTCCCAGTTCTAATCCCGGCATCCCTGCTTCCCATCCAGCTCCCTGCTTGTGGCCTGGAAAAGTAGTTGAGGACATCCAAAGGCCTTGGGACCCTGTTCCTGTGTGAAAGACCAGGGAGAGGCTCCTGGCTCCTGTTGTGTTTATTTTGAGGTTCCTTTATAAACCCGGGTATTTGGGATCTAGCCCTTATAGGTGTCTGTGCGTGCCGCAGGTTGCTGAAGTGCAGTGCTGTGCAGCTCTGTACCTGCTGACCACAACGACTTGGTGGCTTCGGCGAGAAGAGTGATTTTACAGAGCACAGTGGAAGGAAACCATTGTGCGAAGTGTAACTTCAGTAACCCGTTCCGTACTGTTTTGTTTTGGCTGCATCCCATGTGTTTTGATGTTTTTGATTTCAGTTTCATTTATTCCAAATATCTTTTTTTTCTTGTCGAATTCGTTGCTGGCTCATGGATTATGTGGTGGCATCATTTTACCCAAGAGACTTTTGTGTTTTTTTTTTTTTTTGTCACCCATGTGTTGGTTAGTCAGTGGTGCGGTTTTTTCATGGTTATTTGTTATTTGCTGCTGTTTTTGTTGTTGTGGCTGTTGTATACATACCGGTTGTTGACCTTATTTTGTGGCTTCTCATTTATGAAAATGTATAATGATGGAGTACTGGGCTCTACTATATCCAGATATGGTGGTACAATGCAACACGCATTCCTGCTTCCAAACAAAAGATGAACTTCCAATGAAGCTGTTGGAAATGTGTAGACAATGGGATGCTGGACTGTCTGACACCGTCTGTGCCAGCAAGGTCGGGGCACGCTTAAATAAAAGACTGATGGAATTATGACTCCTTATGAAAGATTATACTATTATATCAACATGGGGAAAAGCTGTCGGGGTGGGAGTGTGGTGAGGAATTAAAAAATTCAAAATAAAAATTTAACAACAATGAAGAAAAGCAGAATAAGGATGAAAAGTAGCTTGGTGGGACTCTTGTTTCTTGGAAATGTGTGGCTAAGTCCTGTTGTGTTTTACCCTGTAGCTGTCATGTGTGAAGAGAGGCAGCCTGTTCACCAGACCTTGTGTGCCGCATGCAGAGAGCGCCTCGAAGCTGTTCAGTTGCATTGCAAGCGCCAGGAAGGCAGGGACTGTACTTGTCCAGCTCCTCATGTATTCTGCTTAGCCCAGAACCCTGGCTGGCATTGAGATTCAGCTGTCCTGAATTGAGTCAATGATCTGATGAACTCAATTTGTCTGGGGCTGGCACTGGGTGGAGTCGGTGAAGCCTTCACTTGCGGTGCCAGCATCTCATACCGGCTGCGCTTCCAGTCCCTGCTGCTTCATTTCCAATCCTGAGAAAATAGTGTAGGGTTGCTTAAGTCCTTGGGTGCCCACATGGGAGACCCTGTTGGGTTGCAGCCATTTGGAGAGTGAATTGACAGTGGAGGATCTCTCTCTCACCTCAGTGTAACTCTGCCTTTCAAATTAAGAAAAAAAGCAGGTTGTATGAATATTTCAACATGCCTGGGCTTGGCACTGTGGCAAGATTGGTCGACTTTGCTGTCTAGCTGCCTCATTACACTGGGAAGGCAGCGGAGCATGGCTCGAGGCCTTGGGCTGTCGCACCCCTGTGTTGTCACTCATTTATTTTCAAAGAAAAATTGACCTTGTCAAAGATAGTACTGCTTTAGAGCGAAGTCTAGTTTGGGCTACTTTGTATTTTTCCCACAGTGGAGCAATAGTTACTTGAACAGTTTATTGCATGTATTTTGTTTTTTAAAGTGGGAAACAGCAAAATAGCAGTGTTGATGTGAATAAGTCACATATTGAAGACAAAATTACTTTTGGACCAAAACCAGTTCCTTTTACAAGTCCAGTTGGCTCAGTTTGTGAGGTAAGAAGACACGTGACGTGCCCTCCCTGTGCTGAGAGGTGCGCGTGCGTGGCAGCCTGTGGGGCTGTGCGCCTGCGTGTGCCCGCCCTGCTGCTGGCGTAGTTGATGTTTGTGTTCTGTGTAGGAGAATGCATGTAGGGAAGTAGAGGAGTATGCCAGTGCTTGTGGGACAGTGGGCGGAACGCTCGCACAGCGCTCCGGCCTTGCAGTGACTGCTCGTGGCTGTACAAACAGTAGCCAGCAGAACTTGTGTTGGAACCAAGGTCAGTCTGACTTGGGATTTTCTTGTCATATGTACTTGAAAGAGAAGTGCAGCCCGAGAGTGTTTCTGGATGTCACAGGGCAGAGTGAGAAGTGTGTTTGTTCCCATTCTGCTGTTGCTGTCTCCTGCCAGCCAACATAGTTCTTTCACCCCAGACTTACTTTTGAATTTTTTGTAAGTGAATTCCTAGTATGAAGATTGTACTCCATAGGTATTTAAAATAGGATTAATCCAGGATACAAAATGTAGGTCGGACCAAGGAGCCGCCCCTCCCTCCCCGCTGCCCGCTGGGCAGTGTAGTGAAAGTTGCTTCTTGCAAGGTTTCTAAGTGTTTAGTGACAAGGAAGCAGGTAGGACATGCAGTCCCTTTCCCCAAAGTGCCTGGGGGACGTTGTTAAGGTAGGGTTTTCAGGTGGAAAACTAGTTAGATATTTAATTGTTTGAAAGAGAGTGCTGGGAGCTTGGTGGGTGGCAGGGGAGGTGGACAGGCAGATCTTTCATCTGATTGACTCTCGGGATGGTCACAACAGCCAGGGCTGGGCCAGGGTTTGTGGCGGCTCAGGTGCTGGGGCCATCCCCTGCTGCCTTCCAGGTGCGTTAGCAGAGGAGTGAGGCAGCTGGGACTTGAACTAACTCCGAGTCAGGCTCCATGCCTCACACCACAAACCCAAGTTTGATATTTCAAAAACAGATGTTGTGCATTGTACAGACGACAGACTAGAAGTAATTTATCCAAATATGTCAGTGTCTGTCCATTTACTATTGAGTATGTAACTTATTTCACACGTATAGAGTATGTCACCATTTGTGCGCTGTGTCAGGGTAATTTAATGTTTTGTTTTTAGGAGTTATGGTACAGCACCTGTGAATCTTAATATCAAAACAGGAGGAAGAGTTTACGGAAGTACAGGTAAAAATCTTTATTTACAGTTGCGTTAATAGGAAAAATGACCTTGCTTATAGCAGCTCATTTGAAGAGCAGCTTTGGTGGTGTTTCCCAGAGGCGGTCGAGTATGTGAAAGGGAGGGCAGCAAACGTGTCTGTGTAGACTGTTTGCTGTGGCCGTGTACAACTCTTTGAAAAGAAAGGCTAAAGGCTCCCTTTGCCCACAGTCTGCAAGCCAGCTGTGTAACATGGATGCCAGCAGCCTCTTATTGGTACAAGAATCCTGTAGTCTTGATCCCTCATCCCTCTTTGCACCATAAAGTTTGACATCACTTACTTTCGTTTGTGATGAACATTACTCAGCACTTTGGAACTCTTGCTGCTTTTTGTGCTAGGAATGGTAAGAAGGTGCTAAGGGTTCTTTTGTGCTATCTCCAGCCTCTAATGTGGCCCATTCGCCCTCTTGTAACCTTCCACTAGGAACAAAAGTCAAAGGGGTGGACCTAGACGCGCCAGGGAGCATCAATGGAGTCCCTCTCTTGGAGGTAGACTTGGATTCTTTTGAAGATAAACCATGGCGTAAACCCGGTAAGATTATTGTAAATTCTGTTCTTTGAAATATCTATTGTCAGACCTGGTACAGTAGCCTAGCAGCTAAAATCCTTGCTTTGCATGTGCTGGGATCGCATATAGGCGCCAGTTCTAATTGTGGAGGCCCTGCTTCCTATCCAGCTCCCCTGCTCTTGGCCTGAGAAAGCAGCCGAGGACGGCTCAAAGCCTTGGGACCCTGCAATCTTATGGGATACCCAGAATAGGCTCCGGGCTGCTGGCTTCGCATCAGTGCAACTCCAGCTGTTGAGGCTGCTTGGGGAGTGAATCAACGGACGGAAGATCTTCCTCTCTGTATATCTGACTTTCCAATAAAATAAATCTTTTTTAAAAAAATTGTCTTAAACAAATATGACTAAAAGTGACTAGACTATTAATTAAGAAGCCAGTAATACTTAATAAATATCATTTACATGTTCTTTATTATAATGCCATTTCTAAAGAATATAATTTAGATCAAAGTGTTTCATTGCGATGATTTTGAGAACTCACAAAAGTAGGAGTGGGCGCTAAGACTGGCAAAACTTTGTGTATTTCCAGTTACAATTGTGATGCTGTATAAATGAGCCAGTATATTTGTAGACTTACAGTATGCTTTTTCCCTAGGTGCTGATCTTTCTGATTATTTTAATTATGGGTTCAATGAAGATACTTGGAAAGCTTACTGTGAGAAACAAAAGAGGATACGAATGGGACTTGAAGTTATACCAGTTACCTCGACTACTAATAAAATTACGGTAATTAGTAAATATTCCAGAATACCCTCGCCTTTCCTACTGTCCCACTGTTACTTCCCCAAATAAACCCCTTTTCCTGATAATGGTGATGAAATGCTGTATGATAATGTAAGAATTCCATTCACTTTATCATGTTTGTTTTTCCTCCCTTCCTTCCCTTTGAAAGTTTTATATTAATGATTGTCTGATGTTTTTAGTTTCAAGTCGCAAACCAGCCACAGCTAGTTTGTCTTTATATGGCCTATGAATTAAAGTTTATGTGGTATCTTAATGGGGAATATGTTATTTAACTTAGGCCGAAGACTGTACTATGGAAGTTACACCAGGTGCAGAGATCCAAGATGACAGATTCAATCTTTTGAAGGTGAATTTTAGTAAATTATCCTTGGTTGCTCTCATTTTTTGTTCTTGAGTCTGCTCCCATGCCACTACTCAAGGGACAAAATCAAAGTGGAAATAGCTTACCTTTTTTCCCCAAACCTTCAGCTTCCTGGTGACTTACAGATTTGCTGATTGTTGTCTTCTCTCTTTTGCAAGCATGTGAATTTATAGCCTGTTTACTAACATGTCCAGTAGAACTGTTCTCTGCTGTATGCTGTGATTTTGAGATGTGGCGTATGTCTGTAGGACATGAAAAGGTCCTGGCCATAGATGCAATTCTCCTTATAGATCACTCTAGTCTTTATGGGCGGAACTGGAGATTTCTTACTCCCCCCAACATTGGTGAGAAAGTGGAGTTTTGCTTATTCTCCGTACGATGCTGACATTGTTGGTGTGATGTCTTCCATCAGTGTAGGTATTGTCAGAGGGTGCTTTCAACTCAGCCGAGTGGGATTAAGCCATTGGGTTTTAGACTTAGTACAGAAAAGATATTGGTTATGTGAGGGACTGGAAGGTTGGCACTACTGCCGCCTAGGCATCAGATCTGACTTCTAGTTTCTCTATTTCACGTAGCAGCACAGACTTTGTCTGGAGAGTAATGTCATGTTTTCATACTTCTGTCCTTGACGTTTTTGTATGTACTCTTCTGTCTTTACCTTAACATTTTCTCTGTATTGAATGACACTGTGATGAAGAATGGGAGTGGCTTTTAGATTGGATTCTGTTCTCAGGAGCCTTTTGGGCTGAATATGGAACTGTACCCCTTTTGGGATTGCAGCCCTGTCCACCACAATACTGCCTTATGCATTGCATGTGCTATATCCGCAGATGTAGCCGCTCTGCTGGACACAGTTCTGTATAGAGAACTTAATTTTAATTAACATCATACTCTGGGTAAGTATTTGGTTCTTGTTCTGTTGAAAATATTTTGCAAATACGTGATGATGTCTATCCTGTCAGTTTCTGTTTGCTGGTTTTGTTTCCTTAGGGATTGAGTATGTTGTTGAATGTGACCAAGTTAGTTGCTGCAGTTCTTTTCATCAAGAAGAGCTGCCCTTGTAAGGTGCCAGCTGCTGAATGCCTTGTTCTTTGTTTTCTTTGCTGTTGACTTTGAGAAGCAGAGTGGGGCTGGTCTCCTCACTGTGGCTGTGTATTTTATATACATCCTGTCCATGGAGAAATGATTTTGGGGGTCATTTTGGTTATACAGCAGGAGGTTATTGAATCTTGCAATCTGACTTATTTGTGAATGAGTAAGGATTTGAGGTTGACGGATACACTGAAATGACGGGCTCTTTGGTAATGTGCTTAAATGTCTGAGTGGGAAAGAGGGTGTGTATTTGCATATGTGTGACAGTCCTTTTATGTGTGCTGTGTTGTGGCTTGTGGGAAAGTGATGAGAAAGACCGAATTCTTAAACTACCTATAAACATTTGTGCAAACAGTGGAACGCTGCCTGGGGGTTAGAGAGCTTGCAGGTCTGGGTTCCAGAGGAGGAGTTGGCAGCAGGTGACACTGTGGAATGGGAGGGGCTTACAGAAAGACCAGCTAGGGAGCTTGCTGTGGTCACCTCAGGAGTGAAAGGCTTTGAGATGCCTGAGCGAGTGTTTAGATTTAAGAATTGTAAGTAAGTGTTTCGTATCTACTACAGAAATCCTTTTCCTTCCCTCTTGGTCAAGTGAAGCACAGCACCTTTTTTAGGTAACTTGTTTTACTTTTCGTTGTGTAGATTTTCCAACATAGTAACGAATGGGGCAAGTGGTACAAACCAACCTCTAGGTGCTTATCATACAGCTTCAGTGAGGACCACCATTTTGACATTCTTGAGGTACAGCCTTCTAAATACTTCAGTATGAGTTAAGGTTTGTTCTTTAAAGCAGATAAAGGAAGGTGACATGTAATACGTTTAAAGATAAGCCACTGGGGGCAGGACGCTTGTGTAATGATCTAATTTTGGATAAGGTAGAGAGAAGTGATCGGGTAGCACGGCATGATGAGTTGGGTTAGAAAAAATCAACCCCACTTTGTCGTTAAAAGGAAAAAATTAAGGCTTATGGATTTATTTGAAAGCATTCGAGAGAAGAGGAGAGACAGAATTCTCCTATCCCCCAGTTCAAACCTCATGTGGCTGTAGTGGTCAGGCCTGAGCCAGGCGGACGCCATGAGCCATGAGGTTCATCTGGGTCTCCTGTGTAGCTACAGGGCTTATATATTTGGGACGCTCTACTGCTTTTCTAGGTTTTTTACAAGGAGCCTGATTGAAACAGAAGCATAGAGAACTTAAACCGACACTAATAGGATGCTGGAATTGTAGGGAGTAGTTAATGTACTGTGCTACACACTGGTCCTTTAAAATGTGTTAAAATCCACATGCGTACATGTGTGTGCACGTGTGTGTTTTTCTCTATGTGGAAGTATATGTGGGCTCTCATCGTTTCAAAATCTCAGTTACATTTTTTTTTTATTATTTTTTATTACGAAGACATACAGAGAGGAGGAGAGACAGAGAGAAAGGTCTTCTGTCCAATGATTCACTCCCCAGGTGAGCGCAGTGGCCGGTGCTGTGCTGATCCAAAGCCGGGAGCCAGGAACTTCCTTCCGGGTCTCCCATGCTGGTGCAGGATCCCAAGGCTTTGAGTTGTCTTCGACTGCTTTCCCAGGCCACAAGCAGAGAGCTGGATGGGAAGTGGAGCTGCCAAGATTAGAACCGGCGCCCACATGGGATCCTGGGTGTTCAAGGCGAGGACTTTAACCGCTAGGCCACACCACCAGGCTCACATTTTTTGTTTTTAAGGTTGTATTGTCCATTGCTGGGCTGTTCTGAAGCCGTGAGTCTAAAACTCTGTTGCAGTCTATCACTTGGGTGACAGGGGTTCAGATACTTGGGCCCTTCTTTCTCTGGGACTTTCCCAGGCTCATTCATTAGTAGGGCTGTGGGTCAGAATGATATGGGGTGCTGGTGTCATAGAAACTGCGTCCTTTCCTGCAGCACAGTGCCAGTGCCACAATTTTGGGTCCTGAGAGTCCTTAGTTCCCATGCCTAGGCGGGCAGCCCAGAGCCTTCACGCCTGGGACAGTGTCCTTTGCTCTGGCCTTTGCTTTTTCCTCCCTTCCAACCTTCTTGGCGCATACTGGGCCTCTTCAACTGCTCCTGTAGTTCCCTTAGGTTTTTCTTATTTTCCATTTATTTATCTTTTATTATTTGTAATTTCTTCAGCTTTGTTATTTTCCTAATTTGACCCCAGCACCTGATGCTTGTTCAAGCAAGCAGAAGGACCTCCATCTCCCCTCCCTCTAAATTCCATCTCACAAAGGCTATTAGTAAGGTTTTTCTGTTAGCTTTGCTTTTCCGCAAGTTGATCTGTGTTGGCTTGTGACTGTTTGCTTCGGTCTCTGAGTTGCTTGTTGGTCGGTCGCTGGTTAAGAATGTGCCTGGAACGGTGGTGGAGAGTCAGGCTTGGTGCCTGCCAACGTTCCTGTCAGGGCTGAGCCAGCTGTGCAGTTCCTGGTGCAGCTGTCTTCAGGTTGTTTTACTTTGTGTAGTAATTTAGTAGTAAGTTAGTTTGTGTGTCTTGCTGAGCGAGTGTACACCTGGTTGATTAGAATGTTCTAGAAGCAGAACTGTTAGTCCTCAGTGTGTCTCCTCGTTGCTGGCTTAGGATTCAGCTTTCTTTGCCCTGCCTCACTCAGTCACTCTTTTCATCTGCTTCCAAAATATTGTTTTGCTGCTTTCCCATTACTTTTGTTTTTGTGGGTTTAAACAAAATTATGATAGATTACTTATGATATTCTACTTTTCACCATTCACCCTAACATTATGTGGTGTTTTTATAAATTATTAGTTTTTAGTAAATATTTTAAATAGTTGCATAAACTATTATGTTGTATACCACAATTTAACAAGTTTCTTTTATCTTGTTGTAATGTTAAACTTTCATGAGTGATACTGTGATGGACAGTCCAAGGGAATTCCAAACAATAACTTAAAGATTTTGAGAATAGTGGTAACATAATTTGGGTGAATATTTGCTTTTTGTAATTACAGATTTTTGTCAAAGCTTGGATTTGTGAGTTTCTTTTCAGAAAGGCAGTCATGCTGTCTTCAGTTGTTGGGTCAGGTGAAGGGGTGATTCCTGGTGTGGTGGGCAGTACCAGAAGACAGTGAACTGGGTGGTGATTGTGCAGGCTGAGCAGCAAGGCTACCAGGATTGTGAGGTTCTCTGGGTGGTGTCAGAGCGTCAGCTTATCATGAAGAGACCGAGGAGAAAAGAAAAGTTTTACGTGTGTGTATCTGCCTACTCCCTGTCCTGTCTTCCTCAGCCTTCTGGTGTTGGGCAGATTCCTTCATTTGGGCCTTTTTCTCTCCTCCTTTCCTCTCTCTCCCACTTCCCAGCCCTTCTTCAGTCCTCATGCCCAGCATTTCACTGAGCAGTGACCAGGCCAGGAGTGCATTAGGCTCTGGCAGGGCAAGGAGGAGGTGGTTTTACAAGGGAGACCCTGCAGTCTTGGAGTTTAGCAGTCTTAATGGGAAAGATAGGTTTGAAGGAAGCCAGAGTGGCAAAGACTGTAGGTGTGAGCGTCGTGTCCTGTGACGGGCTTGGAGAAGTAGCACGCTTACCCACAGGCCAAGGAGCTGTCCTCTGGGTGCTTGGGATGCAAATTCAGCTCATAGCGGCAGACAGGGATCACCTAAGAAAGTAGCCTGAGATAATGGTGCTAGTGAGACGCTCCACGACCTGAATTAAAAAGTGCTGTGGAGACCAGTGTTGATGAGGAAACAAACACTACTGCAAGGAGGTTTTGTGTGATGACTCTGTGGCACAGGGAGAGGGCGTAGGGAAGATAAAGAAGTCTTCTACCTTCTCTCTACTGATTCACTTCCCAGATGGCTGCAGGGGTCAGGGTTGGACGGGCTAAGTCAAGATTCCAGAACGCCTAGGTCTTCCACCTGAGTGTCAGGGAGCCAGTTGCTTGGACCATCTTCCACTGCCATCCCAAGCTGAATTGGAAGCAGAGTGCTGGTACTGCAGCTGGCGCTCTGGTCTGGGTTGTTGGCTGAGCTGCGGGTGGAGGGAGTTCAGTCATCTTTGCTGCCTGGGAGGCGCAGGGAGTTGGCTGTCAGTGATGGTATTAAGCCACACCCTTGGGACTGGGGTTGTAACTGGGTGTTGCTGACACCCCTAGAGAGTAATGCATTTGTGTTTATCCTGTAGACATTTTGTTCCTAACATTCACTGTGTTGCTGTGTCTGTTGTGTGTGTTTCCTAAGTTTGGGATTTTGTAATGTTTCGTGTTTGATGAGTGTGTTATGCTCACTTGTGCTGTTCCACTCTGACCCGTTCACCTGTCAAGCATCTGTTAAATCCATTCCTTTACCTCCATCGTGCTTGTGCTGATTGTCACCCTTCACTGAGACCCAGGCATCTTACTGACATGGATAGTTTTTAAGTTACAGAACTCATTTTCAAGTAACGATTATGGGTTGGATTGGGCGCTACTTAATGAGACATCTGGTTTTACTGACAAGGGTTTCTTCTCACACGGGGGGGAGGGCGGTGTTGGGAGGTGGATGATTTTTATAATTGAACCCCTGGTTCAAGTATGTATTTGAGATTCTTTGACTTTTTTTTTTAAGATTTATTTTTTTAAAGATTTATTTATTTTTATTACAAAGTCAGATATACAGAGAGGAGGATAGCGAGAAAGATCTTCTGTATGATGATTCACTCCCCAAGTGAGCGCAGCGGCCGATGCTATGCCAGTCCAAAGCCAGGAGCCAGGAACTTCTTCTGGGTCTCCCACGTGGGTGCAGGGTCCCAAAGCTTTGGGCCATCCTTGACTGCCTTCCCAGGCCACAAGCAGGGAGGTGGATGGGAAGTGGAGCTGCCAGGATTAGAACCAGTGCCCATATGGGATCCCAGGGCGTTCAAGGCGAGGACTTTAGCCGCTAGGCCACGCTGCTGGGCCCATGACCTGTTGTTTATAGGGACGGAGAATGATGCTGAATTTAGATGGGGCAGCATTTAAATAGGAGATAAAGTACAAAGTGATGTTTAAATAATAAAATAGGATAACTTGAACTTAGTTCAACTTTAACAACTTGCTGTTAATTTTAAGATAGGAAGGTAAGTTCAAAAACAAAGAAGCATAAGTTAGGTTAGATTTTAAGGGGACTACACTCGAAAGGATGTGATGGGGCAGAGGAGTTGGCAGAGCTTAGGGAAGTTATAAAGTAGACACTGCTTGGAAAGTTAACAAGAAGAAGTGCGATCGATGCTGAGACAGCTGACTAGAGTGGTATGCCTGGTGCTAGGAGAGCAGGAGAAGCAGCGTGGGAGTGCAGGAGCCACCCGGTGCTGTTGCTCTCCCTGGTAGCATGGTCTGAATAGGAACGGGGCAGCCTGGCTGCTCTGGCCCCTCAGTGTCCTCTGCGGGGCCGATGGCCCGAGTGGGGAAGGCTGCAGTGTCTTCCTGCTCTCTCAACCTCGAGATCATTGCCGCAACTTTGGACTTGGCTGAGCTGAACAGGAGGGGTTTATTCATGTTCCAGGGTGACTTGATGGGGCTTCTTAGTGGCATCAGTGTGAATTTGTAGTAACTGGAATCTTTTCATCTTGCGGTCCATCTTTGCTGCCTTTTGCCTAATGTTATTCTGAAATAGGTTAGTATTCCTTAATGTTCAGCAGTGAAATTTTTTTGGGTTTTAGTTCAAATTAAAGCAAATTTATTTTGACTTGTTAAGTGTATTGTACTTGAATGTTCTATTAAACAAGCACTAATGGCCTTTTTTTTAAGGTACAGCAGGGAAGAACTGGAAATTCAGAGAAAGAAGCACCTCTTCCACCTGCCAAAGCCGAGTTCACTTCTCCTCCCTCTTTGTTCAAGACTGGGGTCCCTCCGAGCAGGTTGGTTAGGCCCTGGCGGCTCAGTTCTTGTCAGGCACGGCATCCTCACCTCGTTCTGTGGTCTGCTCAGGGTAAACACTGCACAGCTGTCTGAAGCTGGAATGTGGGCTTGCTTGTAGCACCCAGCAGGCTCTCAGTGAAGCCCTTGTTGGGTGCTCTTAGATTGTGCAAGAAATGAAGGGTGGTATGTAGGTGTGTGTGTGTGTGTGTGTGTGTGAGAGAGAGAGAGAGAGAAAGAGTACAACATTTGGGAGAGGTGATCACTGTTCTTACTCTTTTCTGTGTTTACCGTACTTGACATAGAGAATGACTGAATGTCCGGAGACATTTTACTGATTTTAGTAAAAGGTTTTAGAAATTTCAGCCAGGACAATATTTCATATTCAAGTCACTTTTCTTTCTTCTTTTGGTTTGTGATGTAAGCATCTGTGTTTCACAAGATGCCAGATAGAAGAGGCAGATGTACTGGGCTATGTCCTTTCTGTTTAAACATAGCAGATAAATGCCTGTTAACCAACGGCTGGGGAAATGGAAGGGTAGGCTGGACCTAGGAAAGTCTGATGTCAGCAGTTTAATCTGGGGTTAGATTAGTAACCCAACTCTTACTAGTATTCTCTCTTCATTACAAATGTGTGTTGTAAGAGGTTAGATTTCCTAGTAGATGGATGCAGGAAGTGGCCTTAAGGGAGCTTCTGATTTACGACTGTGATAAACTTTCTTGAGCATTTAGCCAAAGTGAAGTATTATGTAACAGTCCTGGGTTTTTGTGGATTTTCATAGACAAATTAAATATAAGCTGAAGGTACGTACAGTCTCATAAAATGGCTAAGGACTCCATGATAACCGGTGAAGCTTGATCTTATTAATGTGTTGTATTCATTTTGAGTTTATTGTATTGCAGGATAAAATGCTGTTAAGAGCCAGGACTTAGGATGCAGACTTCTGAGGTTCAAAATTTAGCTCTGTGATTTCGCAGCTCTGTATCTTTGGGTAGAGTCCCCATGTTCGTAGACTTCAGTTTCCTGATTTGTAAAATGTAGTGATGGAACATCCCTCACAAGGTAGTTGTACAGATTGAATGGATTAATTCAAGTGTTTTAGGTCAGTACCTGGTACACAGAAAATAGTTGTAATTGAATTACTTAGGGATAAGAAACAGATAGCACTTTGTCTTTTTGTTCACTTATTTTGATTCGGGCCATGTTATGTAGGTTCTTGTATGTGAGAAGCTGAGTGGTGCTGTTGGATTTCATAGCAGTGAAATAATTCGATTTGAAGTTTGAAGTCTCAATATCATTGTTTTGCTGAGAAGAGACTAGAGTGATTAAGGGGAAGAGGCCAACTGGGAGGTGACAGCATTTGTCACTTGACAGCGACATGGGCTGGATATCGTGGAGATGGGTTGAAGTAGTCAGATACTGCATGTGTTTCAAAAGGTTACCTTGGTGGATTAGATGGATGTAGAAGGTCAGAAGAGTAAGGAAGAACCTGTATGTGGAGACCACTAAGGAGGAGTGGCTAGGAAAGTGGAAGAAAGCCCAGTGTGTGTCTTGAAAAAGTTGTTTTAAGAAGGAAGAATGAGGGACCCAGCGTGGTAGTCTAGTGGCCGAAGTCCTTGTTTTGCATGTGCCAGGATACCATATGGGTGCCGGTTTGTATCCCAGCTGCTCCACTTCCTTTCCAGCTCCCTGTTACTGGCCTGGGAAAGCAGTCTAAGGTGACCCAAAGCCTTGGGACTCTGCACTTGTGTGGGAGACCAGGGAAAAGCTCCTGGCTTCTGGCTTTGGATCAGTTCAGCTCCAGCCATTGCAGTCACTTAAGGAGTGAACCAGTGGATGGAAGATCTTTCTGTCTCTCCTTCTCTCTGTAAATCTAACTTTCCAATAAAAATAAATAAATCTTAAAAAAAAATTAGTCAAGAAGAAATAAGAGACAATTGAATTTTTTAAAATGCATGGACCATTCATTGGTGATCCTAAGCAGAATCATTTCAAGTAGTACATGGAATGGAAAAAAAATCTGGGAGTGGACTCAAAGACAAAATGGGAAGAGAGGGATTAGAAAATATAATATAGGAAATTTGATTCAGAAATGTGACACTTTTTAGAGGGAAAGGTGAGGTGAGGAAGTGTCTTCAAAATGGAGGGAATCGCAGTCTTCTGAGCACTTAGGGCAGTGAGTGGTGTAGACAGAGGCCCGAGAATGGATCCTGCAGGTGGACAGGTGGACAGGTGGCAGGAAGCAGCGGGGACATGGACCAGAGGGAGACAGTAGGGGGCGCCAGGCGATGGGCAGGATGTTGACGAGAATGGGAGCTGCCAAAGGTCTCCACTGCTTGCTTCCATTTTTCCTATAAAAATGTGAGGGAATGTTGAGTGAAAAGAGTTGAGTTAGCGTGATCAAACTAGGAGAAAGGAATGAAATTGCTAGGCAGTAATGGGAGGAAGAGGTGCCATTAAAGAGGGGTTGTTGTCTCTTATTGCATGATTGATCGATTGATTTGAGTGTTTTGGGAAGAGGGATGGACAGGTCATTCTTCCATCCGTAGGTTCACTTCTCAGATGATCACAGTGGCCAGTGCTGGGCCAGTCCAAGGCCAGGAGTTTCTTCAGTATCTATCACATCAGTGCAAGGGGCTTAAGTACTTGAGTCATATTCTGCTTTTTCTAGCCATTAGCAGAGAACTTGATCTGAAGTGGAAAAGCCAGAACACAAACTGGTACCCAGATGGGATGTTGATGTCGCAGGTAACACCTTTATTTTCTGAACACAGCAGTCCCAAGGGGTTGTTAGCAGGATGGGACAACTTAAAGAAAGCATTTTGTATTCTGGTAAGGATACGGAATTAGTACAATGAAAAATGATGACATAAGTCAAGAAGCCACATATTTCCAATTTTTTTTTTTGAGGCCAGTCATTGGTCGTTGTTTTAAGATAGGTAAGTCAGCTTGTTGGTATGTGTCCCTCAACTTTCTCAGGTATGCGTGTGTTCCGGAAGGGTGCCTAGAGCTGGGCTTAAATAGGGGTTGAAGCTGAATCAGATTTTTCAGATAAATACAGAAAGGTGGAAAGGCAGGTAAGTGTGTATGTGTGTGTGACAGAGCAGATGCAGGGAGTGGCTTCATCACTGCTAAACAAACAGTGGTCACTGCCACAAACCACGGAAATAGACCCACGTGGTCAGCACTATCACTTTGGTCTAAACAGACAGTAACCATTTACACACTTGGAGTTTATTTTCTGGTTTCATTGACTTTTCAACTGGAAGCACTCGTTGTGACGTGTTTTGCTGAACAATTATGTGTACTTCCTGTTTTATCTGTTAAATTTATGGAGTTGGAGCAGATGTATTTAACAGTAACTTGTGTTGACCTCAGGGAGGAGATGGTGATGTCACTCATTAAGGCATAACAGATGCTGGAGAGCCGGTGTTTAAGGGTGATAATGAGGCAGTACTACCCAGGGTTTTCACTTCATTTCTTAGTTTACAAGTAGGTAGATGTCAACCTGTCTGCACACAAGTTTTTATGCTTTTTGGTTTGCTTTTATTTCATCAGTAGAAGCATTGTCTTTCTAACTTTCAGTAGTGCCCGGCTAATTAGCATACTAAGTGCTCCATTTAATACATAGTAGATTGCCTAGTGGGTTTTTGTTGTTATTTTCTTCCACAGAATTGTTTGTTTCCTGGAAGTGGAGTTTGGAGGTATGGATGGAGGCAGATGAGTCTTCTCAGGGTGCAGAGTTCAGGAGAATGTGTCTGTAAAGGAATACCCCCGACCCTTTCCAGATCTGTACCCAAATAGCCAGCTGGTGTTGTGATTAATTGCCTAGGCTTGTAGAGTATTCTGCCTCCCCTGTTTTTTTTGAGTATAGACATACAGGAAAGGACATTGGGAATGTATGCTTTCTGAATTTTGACAAACTGCCGTGCTCGTGTAAGCCAGCACACAGAGTGATGAATACGCCAGAAAGCTTCGCTATGGCACCTGCATTTGTTCTTGGGCTTTCTAATGTTTTGACCAGAAAAAAAAAATCTTACTGAAAGTTTCAAGATAAAGTACATCTTCAGTACGTAGTGCAGCCATATTCACTAGTTACTAACATGTTGTCATTTGTTTTACAGTTTCTCAGAAATATTCTGAACTTTTAGAATGTTAATTATAAGCGTTTTGCCCCTTTACCTGCAGACACATCAACATTTGTATTCTGTGATCAAGGACATACAGAGTACAGTTTTTAAAGTCAGGCTGTCTATTGGTGATGTCAGCATTGCACTGTCGCCATTCCCCCTGTTACAGTTAACAAGTAATCAGTGGGGAGACTCAGTTTACCGGGAGTCTTAGCATCCTCGAATGCTTTGTACTTTGCTCCACTGTTCCACGTTCGTACTTAGTGTGATTATCACCTAACTCTGCTGACTCTTCTGCTGCTGCTTGCTTGTGACCAGTTAGGTTCATTAGTGCGGACTCTGGCTCAGAGCTGTGTGGGATGTGAGGCATCTGTGTGTGTATGACCTTGTCAGTTGGATGTCTAGACTGTCCCAAATTTGGTCTGGGAGCCTTTTCAGCCTGGTTCCTGTGTCCTTTTGGCACGCCATCATCTTGGTTTGGTTTTCTTGAAGAGTTCTTTACTCTTGGAAGTTACAGGATTGTCTTACACTTAGGCCACCTCGCCACGGGAAGCGGCTGTTTGCTCCGAGGCCTCTAGGTCCCCTTGGTGGGCAGCTGCGCAGTAGGAGTCCAGGTCAGCTGGTGGCTGTGCTCACTTTGTGCAAGTGTCAGGATTTGCTGGCTCTTCAGCCCTCACAGCTAGGAAAGTCTGCAATTTCAGTGTGAAAATCCCCTGTGTATTTTTCCTTAAAACACCAATCATGAAATTCTGGTTTTTGTACTTTAGGTCAACATCACTAGCTTCTTTCATCTTCTCTTACATAGCACAGTTCCCTTTCCTTCCCGTGAGGACTTTGCCTTTTCACCTTAGTGCACGGCTGGAGTTTCCACATCTGCCATTACAGAGGGCAAGCCTGTTACATGGCTCAAGGTTTGTGTGCACTTCTTTCTCAGACTGAAGAGAGTCAAAATTTTGGGCCACTTCATTCATTGTGTTTATATTCAGTTCTACCTTTTCCTCCATGCTTGTTGATCTCATTTCATGTTGCTTCATGGAAAAGACATTAAATGTAATTTTGCGGACAAGGCTTTTCAAAGATTCAGGGGGGAGATTCGGTGCTTTTTTCCTTTTACTCCACTCTTGTCAGAAACAGACTTTGTTTTGTTTCTAGTTATTCTTCTTTTGTTTATGTTTAAGCAAACAGATTCATAGATGTAGATTTTCGGTTGCTTTGAAAAAACATTGTTTCCTTGAAGATTGACAAGAATGTAAGTACTTTAAGTTTTGTGGGGTATGCCATTGGTTATGAATTTAACTGTTTTTGAATTTTACTTGATAAGAGTTCCATTTGAAGTGACATTTTAATGAAGTGCTTATTTACTGTGGATTTTTATGAAACATTTTAAAGTTGGTCCTGTTAACTGGCTGTATTAACAATACTCTTACCTGTTCCTGAAGAAAATAGGGAAAGAAATTACCTAAAATTTGAGTAAGATTTTGTGAAATGGCAAAAATTAATGTTGATTGGCAGCAGCATGGGAATTGACAGTGGACAGTAACCTGAAGGAGCCCTTGGTGGTTTTCTCATGTCTGTGTTTTGATATCGGACTATGTTGAGGATTTAATAACATGTCTGTTCAGATACTACCCAGTAGTCTTGGTACCACAGCAGACGCCTTGTGTGGCTTGAGTAGGATGACACTGTAGGAACATACTGAAGGAAGGATTCTTGTGGCGACTGCATGTGGACATCTGTCTCAGCAGGAATAGCTCCTCGTCTCAGGCTCAGCCGAGTGCTGCTTCCAGGAAAGCCGCTTCCAACGTCGGCAAGTGGCAGGACCGCTACGGGCGGGCCGAGTCCCCGGATCTGAGGTAAGGCCGCTTCCTCTCCATCTCGGCAGGGTGGCTTGGCTCTAGGGTGACAACTAACTGGACTGCACAACATGGTAATCCCTCCAAGTGATCCTCCAGGGTGCAGTAGATGGTTTGTTAATTACCATGTGAGAATCAGTTCTAACATATATCTTGCCACCTATGCTGGCCTCTTTTTAAAAATTGTATTTGTTTTCATTTTATTTGAAAGGCAGAGAGGGACAAACGAATGTATAGGGAGAGATCTTCCATCTGCTGGTTCACTACCCAAATGTCTACACCAGCTGGTGCGGGCCAGGCTGAAACCAGGAGTCTGGATCTGCCATCTTACCTTCTGCTGAGCAGGCAGGTGGCAGTGTAGATTGAGAGCATTTGAAGGCAATCTGGCATTTCTCTTACACACATTTTAGGATCCTTTCCACACATTTCCTCAAATTAGGGGAGTTTCTGCTGTTACTTTGCTGAACGGGCTTCCAGTCTGTTCTGTCTTTCCACACCTCCAGGAACTCTCAGCCACATGCATGTTTGGTCATTTTGATAGTACTTGATAAATCTCAAGCGTTTTTTTGTCGGATGTTTCTGAGAGTTGTCTTCTACTCGCGTATTCTTTATTCTCCCACACCCCGAGTTTTTGTTCAGCTTCCCTGTATGTTGTACTTGACATGTTGGAGTCTTCATTTTCAGTGTTTCTGTTTGATTTCTCTTAAATGTGTGTATCTCCCAGTGGAACTTCACTGTGTGTCATCTATGGATTTCTTTAACTCATATTTTTGCTTCTCTGGTTTGGAATAATCTTTCTATTTTAAATTCCTTTTAAGAAACTTAGATGGTCTTATTCACATTCTGATATTGAAGTGTTCCCTTTGGGGTCATAGTCTTCCTTGTTCATGTTTCTGTTTGTATTTAGGCATTTGTGGAAGACTTTCACCTGTGACAACTTTTCTCTTTGAAGTCGACCTGTATGGTTTAGTAGGGCGTGTGCTGGAGGGGCACAGGGCCAGAGTCTGGGCCTGCCAAGTGACCATGTGGTGTCGTACAGCTGCCACCTTCAGTGCCACTTGCTGTCCTGGCTGCTCCACATCCAGTCCCGCTTGCTGGTCATGTGCTGGGAAAGCAGTGAAGGACAGTCCATGTGTGTGGACCTCTGCCTCCACCTGGGGGATCCAGAAGAGCTTCCACCTGGCCCACCCTGTGTGTTACAGGCATTTGAGGAGTGAACCAGCAGTGGAAAGGGCTTGGCTATTTTTATTTACTTTAAGAAAAATGTCCAGACTGACGCCTTCATGAGCAGCAGGGAGAGGACGTGCACGGTCCACTGCCCGGGGTGAGCCTGCAGAGGCTGCGCCTCTGCCGCTGTGCCCTGCTTGTGCTGCACAGAGCACCTGTGTGTTCCCCAAGAGAGCAGGAAGCTCGGAGTGACCCAGTCGGGCGCTCAGTGGCCTCGGAGCCTTCCAGGGCAGCCAGAGGGAGCACCTGGAGACCGCGCCACACGCACACGTGAATTTCCAGTCAGCATGTGGAACTCCTGCAGTGACAGCCAGCAAGGGTCCCATTCAGCAGCTGACCCAGGTCCTTGGGACCCTGTCCCCCACGTGCAGTCCTCTGCTGGAGTTCCTCGCTCCTGGCTTGGCCTGAGCCCTGGCAGCCATTTGGGCGGCGAATCAGGATGAAGCATCTGTAACTGCCCTTCAAAGAAGTAAAATAAACCTTTACAAAATTAACAAAATATGTTGTGATCTGCATGTTAGTTTAGAGTACTTTACAAAAGGTTTTAGTTTTTATTTCTTAATGCAGGTTAAACCAATTTCTTCGATGTTTATGTTACAGGAGATTGCCTGGAGCAATCGATGTTATCGGTCAAACCATAACTATCAGCCGAGTAGAAGGAAGACGGCGAGCTAATGAAAACAGCAACATACAGGTTGAGTATTGAAAACTCTTCCCTTTTCCATCTGAAGACTGTATCTGTGTTCTAGCTTAATTGAGCAGTACGTATTTGTGCTATTGTGTTAGGATGGGAATTCAAAAACTTATGAGAAACTTTTTAGTGCATAAATTTTGGAAATCACTTTTTTATGAAAAAAATGTGTTTTATGTGAACTTTTTCAAAAACTCTTCATGTAAGTTTCTTCAGAATTTTTTTTAAGACTTATTTATATTTATTGGAAAGTCAGATATACAGAGAGGAACAGAGAAAGAGAGGAATATCTTCCATCCGATGATTCACTCTCCAAGTGAGTGTGACGGCCGGTGCTGCACCGAACTGGAGCTAGGAGCCAGGAACTTCATTCCAGATCTCCCACATGGGTGCAGGGTCCCAAGGCTTTGGGCTATCCTCAAATACTTTCCCAGGCCACAAGCAAGGAGCTGGATGGGAAGCAGGGCTGCGGTGATACGAACCAGCGCCCATATGGGATCCTGGGGTGTGCAAGGTGAGGACTTTAGGCACTAGGCTACTGTGCCACACCCCTTTTAAACTTAATTAATGTTTGGGCCCGGGATAGTAGCCTAGTGGCTAAATTCCTTGCCTTGCACAATCTGGGATCCCATATGGGTGCCAGTTAATGTCCCGGCAGCCCCCTGCTTTTGGCCTGGGAGAGCAGTCAGGCACAGCCCAAAGCCTTGGGACCCTGCACCCGTGTGGGGTACCCAGAAGAGCTCTGGGTCCTGGCTTCGGGTCGGTGTAGCACCAGCCTTGATGGCCGCTTGGGAAGTAAATCAATGGATGGAAGATCTTCCTCTCTGTCTCTCCTCCTCTCTGTATATCTGACTTTTTAATAAAAATAAATAAATCTTTAAACAAAAAAGGTGGCTAATTTCTAAAATCAAAGTCTTTCTCTTTTACTCAGTATTAAAACACCCTGATTTCTTACAATACATCTGTTCCTACTCTTGAGAAACACTGTCAGTGTAAGTCTTACTTGAATTAATTCCATTTACATGTTGAAAACATTGTAGAAATTACATATTCAAATGATATGTGTGAGTCAGCAAGGATTTGAGAATTTAAGTTGCATAATTGTAGTACGCTGACTGTTTTACTGTTTCTCCAAGCTGCATATGACATCCCTTGGGGATTTGTCAGACGCCACGCGTGTAGGTGCCACTGGGTGGCTGCTGAGTGCCTTGCTTCCCTGGGCCAGGGATGAGCGCTTTACAAACGCTAAAGTGACAGCTCATCTGCTTGCTTCCTGCTGGCGCGCCTTTCAGCCTCTTTGCAGCCTCTCCGTGTACATGGCTGCTGCTGTGGTTATTCCTTCTTGTTTGTATTCAGGTTTTAGTTTTTTATTGAAAAGAAACCTAGTTGCAGGGGTAGAGTGTTCGGTAGATGCAGATCTTTCCTCTGCTTGCTCACTCTCTCAAGTAGCTGCGGTGGCTGTAGCTGTGCCAGGCTGAAGCCAGGAGCCAGCAACTATGTCTGCATGGCTCGAGCCAGGAGCCATCTGGTGCTTTGCTGGCACTTCGGTAGGGAGCCTAGCTGGAAGCGGAGCAGCTGGCAGTGCAAGCAGCACCCATGGGGGCTGCTGGCGGCAAGGCAGGCCGGCCTGGTGCTGGCAGCAAGTGAGCAATTTCCTCACTTCCGCAGGATTAGATAACAAAGAAAATAACTGGCTACTAAGAAAAACTTTTTTCTAAAGATTTCTTTATTTTTATCGGAAGGTCAGATTTACAGAGAGAAACAGAAAGAGAGGAAGATCTTCCATCCGCTGGTTCACTCCCCAAGTAGCCACAGCAGCTGGAGCCGAGCTGATCCAAAGCCAGGAGCCAGGAGCTAGGAGCTTCCCCTGGGTGTTCCATGCAGGTGCAGGGTTCCTAGGTTTTAGGCCGTCCTCTACTGCTTTCCTTTGCCACAAGCAGGGAGCTGGAAGGAAAGTGAAGCAGCTGGGATACAAACTGACACCGGCATGGGATCGTGGTGCATGTAAAGCAAGAACTTTAGCCACGAAGCCACCTCACCAGACCCAAAAGAACATTTTTTGTAGGGAAGTTTTTGTTACTTTATGATTCCTTAAAGGTATTTTGGGTTGTGAGCTATTTTTTCCTAGGTTTTGGGGATTTTAAAAAGCATCTCTGTGAGTGGATGCTCACGTTTGTATAACTCAGTACACATGCGCTACATGGAAATACTGTCCTTACACAATATAAATGCGCATGGAGTTAACCCACTGCACTCTGCTTCCAGGTCCTTTCTGACAGATCTGCTGCTGAAGTGGACAACAATTTCAACAAGCCACCTCCATTTTTCCCTCCAGGAGCTCCTCCCACCCACCTTCCCCCGCCTCCCTTCCTCCCGCCGCCTCCCACTGTCAGCACCGCACCACCTCTGATTCCACCACCAGGTACAGAGCAAGCGGGACACGGGGTTGGGAGAGGAGTGGGTCTTGTGTTCCTTGCATTTTGAATTTAATAACCGAAATATGTAGCCAGAAGCACTATCTTGGTTAATTGCATTGCCTTAAAAGTGTTAGTGTATTTATTAAGTTGTTTTGACACATTCACACAGAAACATGCACATCTTGCTTTTTAATCTGTCTGAGATAATGAGTGCACTTAGTAAAATTGTGACTCAGAAAGAAGTGGCAGTGGCCCCAGACCAGAGTTGGTGGGATGTGTCCACCACAAGCTGCCATGTGGTAAATGTTAAAAGATGTGTTTAGAAATGCAGTGGGTTGAAAAATCTTACACTGATACTAAAATTAGGATTTCAGATTGTTGGTCTTCTGTTTATGTTATTTTCCTTTTAACAGATTATTGTTGAATTCCAGTAACCTGGTATTTACTTGTTTTGAACAATATAGAAAAGTAACAAATTTTTCTTTTAGGTTTATGTATGTATTAATTAAAATTCAGGTCAGTGATAGTGGATGAAAAATTGGCAGACCCCAAATTGCATTTTTTGTCTGTGTTTGTTCTTGTCCAGTGGTCTGTCTGTCTTTATTCCTGCAAGTTTTCAGTATTTATGCTCCTTGATCAGGTCTTCATGATCTGCCTGGGTTGAAGGAGTGACTGGGGAGAGTGCTAGCAGTGGATGCTGACAGTCAGCTGCCGCCCTGGCTGGATGCCCTGCACGAGGGAAGGTTGGCATGCTGCTAGCAGGATCAGGTCCCTAGGGCCCGTGGGCCGGGGAGGACAGGCAGCTCACAGCGCCCGGATAGCCTCTTGTGGTGTGCTCAGCCCTCCCCTGCCCCTCGTCCTTGGCTAGATGTCCCTCCACGGTCACCGCTGCTTCCCAGAATAGGAGAATACTTTGGAAAATGACTCGTGGACAAGAGAAAAGACAGGACTGAGCTAGGCGAGTGCTTCCTCCAAAACACACACTTCCGAAGTCCTAACTGAGAACAAGAGTAAGACCAGGGGGGTTGACTTGTGAATGAGCCCTCGTCCACTAGAAGAGCACGTGTAGAAAGAATCTGTTTAACATATCAGAGTGAAAAATGGTTGTTTGTGAAAATATTCCTCACATTGGATTGCTATGTAATCCTGTTTAAACTTTGTTAGGCCCTACGTGTCAGTTGAAAGAGTATTCATGTTTAAAAATATTTGTTCAAAGTTTAAAGTGACAGCCAGTTGCATATTTTATTCGGCAGTGTTTTTGTTGTTGTTGTTTTTTTATTAATTACATTGCATTATGTGACACAGTTTTATAGGCACTGGAAGTCTCCCTACCCCTCCCAAAACCCTCCCCTCATGGTGGATTCCTCCGTCTTGTTGCATTACCACAGTTCAAGTTAAGTTGTGATTCTTTCATTGCAAGCATATACCAAGCATAGAGTGCAGCATCTTATTGTCCAGATAAGTTCAGTGGCTTCTTGGGGAGGCCATCTCTGGTCTGAAGGGAGAGCATGCAGAGTATCATCCCAGTCAATTAAAAGCCCCAACATAACATCAGCAACAATTTGGCAGTGTTTTAGTACATATTCACAATGGGGTGTGTTTGAAACATGCTGACTATCTTATCTGGCACCTTATGTGCTGAAAACATTGGAAATTTGTTCCTATTTTGAAATGTGCTGAGCAGTGGGTCTCTCGAAGCTTATCCCTCCTGCCACTTGAGCAGCGTCTGTATTCCTCAGTCCAGCCCAGCCCGGGTCCCTTCACCTCCATTCTGCTCTACTGGTGCATTTCAGGTAGAAGCGAGATTACACATGATCATTTGTCCTTAGATGATTCATGTATTTGACTACTGCAGTGTTCTCTGGATCCATGCCATGGTGTTTCAAGTGACAGTTCAAACTCCTGTCCCTGGCTGATGCGGTCCGTCTGCAGACCTTTTCAGATGTGTGACACTAGGTGTAGTTAGAGTAAGCAGGAACAGGTGTACTGGTGATGCAGGGAGGAGTACTTCCTAGCATGTGCGTATCCAGAGGCCTCACAGGCCGGTGATGGTCAATGCTAACTTTATCTGGAAGTTTGCTTTTTTCAAAATGATAAAACTGTTGTGTTTCTTTGTTGTGTAACCTGTTTCTATGTATGCCACTCCTTGGGATAATGGAAAAGGCTGGTGGCCTTACGCTCATGGCTTTTCTGTTTTTTTGTCTGTTCTGTGTTCATTCTCAGCTGTGTTGCTTTTCAAATTTGAAAAACCTATCCAGATCTTCTTGGTGATGATTCTTAAGATGGCATTTCCATGTATCCTGTCAGCCTGTGAGAACTCTAATCCTGGCTAAAGTAGTACCTAACTGTGGGTATTTGTTAAGGGATACCAGTTTATATTTAAAATAAATGTTTTTAATTAGAGACTCTACTAGACTGTCCTGGGGAGAGTTTAGTGTGTTGACGTGGTGTCTTGTGTATGCTGGGCATTCCTACATTAGTTAGTGAGCTAGCGAGTTTGTTTTCCTACACCAGAAATGACTTGTGTTGGCACCTGATACACACAGAAGGAGCAGAACTGCCTGAGGAGAGATCCATGAGCTCATGCAGGCCAGCTGGGTCACACTTCACCCGCTGCTTGGTTCACGCTTCAGTCACCTTAAGAGTAACAGGCAGGTAACAAAAAGAGGCTGCGACTCAGGAGCCCGTATTGGATATTCCCTTAAAGAATGTCGCGTCTTACTTCGAAGTATTGAAAGGAAAGGGGAAATAGTCTTTTAAAAAGTTATTTATTTGAAAGAATGACCTGGGGGAGCTAAATCTTCCATGTTCCAGTTCATTCCCCAAATGGCCACAGCAACCAGATGTAGGCCAGACTAAATCCAAGGACCAAGCGCTCTATTGGCATCTGTCAGCAGGAAGCTGGATAGGCATCGAAGCAGTTGGCATTCAAACCAGCATTCTGATGGGATTCTAGCCTTCTAAGCAGTGGCTTAACCCACTAGTTCTGATTTAAGTGTGTTTTAATGTTGGCATTGTTTACACTAGATCCTAATGCGTAAAAATTTAAACCGAAAGTTCTATACGATGAGACAATCTAGAAATATTGTACAGTGTGCATGTTTTAGGGAATACCCATTTTCTTGTAAATTGTGATTATACATCCAGTTTGATGGTAACTGTAATTCTGTTTTACGTCTTTTTTCCTACCATGATTACTGTTCATTCTGAGAATTCCCTGGGTTTGTTGGATAAGGTTTGTGACTGCCCCTGTTGTGTTTGCAGACTCAGCTCATTGCTCAGGTGAAGCCATGCCTGACGGGTGGGAGGTGACAGGCACAGCCCCTCAGCCAGTTAGTCTGTCGCCATAACATGGTGGACAAGAGGCACCTGGGCGGCCAGCTTCCTCCCAGGCCTGTTTGCAGACGTGTGTGGAATCTGGTTGGTAACAGAGAGGACCAAGCATTTCTGGCTGTGACAGATTTGTCTGAAGGCCAGAGAATATCTTGTTTTCAGACTATTGCTGAGACTGAGGAGACTTCTAGAAACACGGAGGTATATAATGGGACTCCTTGGGGTGACGCCAACAGTAGCCTGAACCCCGGAACTAGCTGGTCAGCTGCCTCTGTGATTGTCAGAAAATGATTACCTCCATCTCCTGCTGAACCAGAAGATAAATTGGCTAATAGCAGCTTAGTTTTGTTTTCTCTGAGTAATAAAAGAAATAGCTTACTTTGTTTTTTTCAGAATTAATTTATTTTATTATTCTATGATATGGTAATAGCTTATTTTTAAAGGTACTCTCTTGAGAAGAGTTCATGTGTTATATTAGTTCATTTGACTCCAGAACAATAATTGAAGGAAATGTGATTAATGTTCTTGTATTAATTACTAGTTCATGTATTAGCGCTGATGATTCCAGGACAGTGTTCATATTCTGTTATTGTGGATGAGTAAACTGGAACTTGAGAAATTTAAGCAGTAGGTAGAAAACAGCACTAGAATTCTGGTACAGGCAGTTTTGCTTGAAAAGTCTATTTTGGATATATTAAAATTAAAACCTGTGTCCAGAAAACATTATTACTGTGCTTTGTGTGTTTTCTGTAATCACATGTCTTAGAAGAGCGTTTCTCTACTATTGAAATGAATGGGTGGTGTGATATGTGTTCTTAGATGAGGTAGTTAGGAAGATGATAAAGAGCAGGAAACCAATTTTTAAAAAGATTTATTTTGAAGGCAGAGTTACAAAGAGAAAGAAATCTGTCCGCTGGTTCAATGGCAGCACCATGGCTGGAGCCTGGCCAGGCCAGCGCCTGTGCTTGGAGCTCCCCCAGGTCCCCTCTGGGGGGCAGGCGCCCAGCACGTTGTTAGCGTGGAGCAGCTGAGCGCGCAGCTGTGCTCACGTGGGCTGCCAGAGCCAGCAGCTTCACCCACCACACCACAGTGCTTGACACGTTAGCATTTTTTAAGAAATTTGATAACCACAGTTTTACTATTCGCCTGGTTTAGGTTCACAAATCCATTTACCTGAGTGTACAAGTTTTGAAAATTTTGTTTATTAGAAGAAAAATTTTACCATGCAAAAGACTGATGCTTGTGTGTTTACTGTGCTAGAATACTCCTACTTTCTGTTCTCTGTGTCGTTGGCAGTTGGCCTGGCAGTGTGTAGCTAACACTGTGCCTTCTACCTGAGGCTTTTATTAAATAGGAGTTTTTGAAGTTAGAAAGCAAAGTTTGACTAAACTTGTGTTACATTAATTAATACAAGATCTGTGTAACCGTGGTTTTTTGGGTGTTGGGAATTAAGTCTAACCTCATGGTAGAATTAAGCTGCAGAAAGTTCTTGGCTTCTGAGATGTGGCCCAGTTGCTCTGCACCGCGAACCAGAAAGGCGCCCCTGCTTTCAAAGGGGTGCCAGCGCTAGCTGCTTGCGCAGACAGTGTTCGCACCTTGCGATTGTTTTGGTTATTAAATCAGTTTCTTTGTAGAAATTGAGACTGAAGGAAAGTGACTGGGATTGTGGTTTCCACACGTCATTGCTATGAAATTTAAAATTTACTAGTGAGAAGTAGGAAGCAGATTTATTTGCACCTAGGAGGGGTGGAAAGGTTGTTATTCCATGTCTTGGTTTTCTGTTGCTGCTGGAGAGATGCTTCCAGAATGCAGTGGCTTGCAACAGCACACTCACTTGTTACCAAGGGGCTTGTCTAGACCCGGAATTTGGGAACATCTTAGCTGGTTTCTCAGCTTCAGAACTTGTCTCTGAAAGTGGAGTTGAGGATGGCTCTGGACCCCAGCACAGGCAGCCATCTCGTGGAGCCTGGCAGTTCCTTCTCAGCAGCTGGTGGCTGCTGGAGGGCGTCAGCACTGCTGTCGTGGCTCCTGCCTCCCGTCATGCCATCATGGAAGTGACAGCCGAGGGCTTCTCTGTGTTGAGTGTCTTGGAAATGCGTGTCGTGAAGTCTGGCGCCCTCAGGGGACACTGCCAGTGCCAGAGGAGGGTCCTGTAATCTCTTCCCACCTTAATTCCACAAAAAAATGAGGGGATACACGGAGAATGGGTTTACGGAAATCTGTGTGCCATTTGTTTTTTTTGAGTGCGGAGCCCGTTATTGAGGAGTTTTTGAACACAGTGGCAGTTAACAGGAATGCTTTCTTTATTTCTGCCTCAGCTGCTTTAGCTTCCATGTAGGGCCTCGACTCTTCCTCCATTTCCCCTTGCAGTCTGGATTTTGTGTTAAATCCTTTGCTTTTATTTTTATCTATGTATCTGTGTGTCTCTCTGTCTAATGCTAGGTAACGCAGGCATTACGCTGTCAATACAGAGACAACTTTGGTCATTTCATCAAAGTCTGAATTAGAGTTCATTTTGTTTGTATTAAGAATGGAGTTGCTCAGCAGTAAAATGAGGAGAGAAGTCTAGAATCCAGTGCACTGATTCTCAAATGTCTGTTCCTGAGTCAGTAACATGATCGTCTCCTGGGGAGTTCTTGGGGATATGTGTTTTCTGGCCCCGTGCTGCCTTGTACCTGCCGGATCCCGTATAGACAACAGTTTGTGTTCTGGCTGCTCCACTTTTCTCGCCATCCAGCTCCCTGCTTGTGTCCTGGGAAAGCAGTAGTACAGACTGGCCCAAAACCTTGGGACCCTGCACCCATGTGGGAGACCCAGAAGAGGCTCCTGGCTCGGATCAGCTCAGTTCTGGCCATTGCAGTCACTTGGGGAGTGAGCCAGCGGGTGGAAGATCTTTCTATCTCCTTCTCTCTGTGGATCTACCTTTCCAATACAAAGAAATAAATAAAAGAAAGAAAGAAATGTGAAAACTAGATCAAATAAGGAAGTCTGCAGTATTCTGAAAACAGAATTGTCCTGTTTTAAGGAAAATAGTAATTATATATATTAGTAACATTTCAAGCTTTGGTTTTCTGGTTCTTTTAGCTTAGCAGTTGGGATTAGAGTCCCTGGAGGTTCTATGGGAGTTGTCGCTTCCTGTTCTCAGTTGTGGAGGGGTGGAGATGTGGGGACTTGATGGGTGCTGCTGTGTCCACTCTGCTGGCTGTGCTTGCCTGGGGCATGATTTGTAATGTTACTGCATGGGTTGTGAACCAGGGGCTCTAGTCTATTTCAAGGCTGTTTGGTGCTTCAAGACATTTGTTTGTTCAGTAAGTTTCCTATCCTGGTAAAGCATGAATGTCAGAACATTTTGAAATATATCATTAGCACATTTCCACAGATATGTATGAAAACATTTCAAAGTGATATTGTTTTCATTTTTCTTAAACTGATTTTGATGCAGTTTTTAAGATAACATTTGGTGAACCATTCTGTGTTGAAGTTACTTATGACATAGATCTTTTCTCATGAAGAATTTGTTTTGGATTTTAACCTTTTTTTTTTTAAACTAATTTTTTTTTTAACCACAAATAGAATATGCATGCTGCTTAAGTAGTCTTTTAAGTATCTTCTAACTTTTCAGTGTAAAGTTAATACACATTTCTATATTAGGATTGAAGGATACAAGTTTAGTTAGCATAAATTTATTTTGCTTGAATTAATTTCCTGAAAATTATAATGTGCGCATATAAAGAGTGAAAGTTGTCCAAATTAGAATTTGTCAGCACCCAGAGAAGGAAATCCTAAGTGTGTGTGTGTGTGTGTGAATTAGCTCTCCCCCTTTCTTTACTCTGAGAAGCAATGGGAATGTTAATTTTTTGTCACTCCTGCTGACACTGTCTGTCTGAGCACTTGAAAGCCGTAGAGTAGAGGATGTGATGGTGTCTCGATGTGTTAGACCCTGCAGATCAGTGTCCCTGTTAAAATGTTGTAATGAAATGAGCAGACATGAGCAAATCTTGTTAGAATGCTTCTCTTGGACATGGAATTTGTGCTGTGTAACTGATGTCTAACCTTGTGATTGTAACTGGTGGGGGAAACCTAGTTACCAAACTTCAGACATGCTGCAAGAAACCAGAATGCTTCTCTTGAGTGCCTGAGCCAGGATGGTGAAGCAGGGGTTTTACTGGAAAGTTTGTTTTGCTGATGGCGTAAATACTAACAGGTTCTGAAATCCAATTACTATATTAAATTTCATCACTTGTTTTTTAGGTATTCCAATAACTGTACCACCTCCAGGTAAAACTTTTTTCATGTTTTCTCCATCGTTGTTAATAAACATGAAATCTCAAGCTCTCAGTTACAGGGTGGCAGTGTAGATGTAGTTCGAGTATGCAGATAGGCTGTTGGATTCCAAGGTCCTATTTTCAGCCCTGCCTTTGCTTCATTCCATGTTTGATTAAAATACTGAGTTTTTCTTAAACCTGTCTTACCTATTTTATGCTGAAATAAATGTTTTGTTTAAATTTTTACCTTATCAATTTGTGAAGAAAACAGTTTGATAGACTTTTATGAAAGTATTTTTTGAGACCAATAAAGTTTTATGATTGCTTAAGAGAAAGATCATTTATCCTGACTACTATGATGTCTGATTTTTTTTTTAACCCTAGTGGCAGAAGTCTGTATCATGAGAAACTTAAGTTTTGAAACATAGCAATTAGGTAGATTGATAGCTGGCTGTTCTTGGCGTGGCCATTATTGTTAACTGCGTTGCTGTAAGTATAGGGCTGGGCATGAAGGGACTATTTAGAAGGGCTGTGAGCAGTAGAAATAGTGCAGTTCAGAGAGCAAAGGATCAAATGCCTTGTTAGCTATGACTAAAGTCACTGCGCAAAAGTGGCTGAGAAAACTCACCAGCAAAGCCAGAGGAGTCTCCAGCATATGTCTTTTTAGTTTAAAAAGCAGTGTGATTGTGAGGCTCTACAAGATTGAAGTGTGGACTTCAGGTCTAAGGGAGTGCTTATTGAACGTGCACATCTGATATGTTTGATAAGGAAGTTACAGACCTAAGACAGCATGGCGAATGGCATGTTCACTTGAAATATTTTGGTACAGGGCTAACTGAAGTTCAGAAGGGTTAAGGCACTGGAATTTCTTTTCCTGTAGAACACTTAGCAGGAGGTTTAATGGAAGCCTGGCAGTAGAATACAGGACGGTGTTCAAAGCTGAACTGTCAGAGATTTAAGCCATAGAGTTTCGTGCATTTCCTGGTAGGATTGTTTAAACTAGAAGCAGTTAGTGCAAGTTGTCAAGTCTTTTTTGGACATTTTATTGCCTGTCTGAATTTGTGAGTGTATAAAGGAGGTTGACTGCCAAGTTCCCTTGTAGCCATTTTATTCTTTGATATTTCATGTAGGTCTGAGGAGTGATTGAGAATTCAAACCTCATTAGCAAAATGCAAATTCTTTCTTTCCTGTAATCCAAAAACTGAATTATATGTCTTTTTCTCTAATTTGTTAAGCATTTATGTATTTACTGGTAAGATTTTATTTATAATTACACATAATAAGGACATTTCTACATATCTAAAAAATTAAAAATATTTTTTGAAAGAGATAAACATCATTTTATTTGCTTTTCTTCTAAAATATTTCAAGTATAACATATATTGTGGTAACATTACTAATTTTATGTGGGAAAGGTAAGGCGTTGACTAGCTTTCTGATACGTAGTAAGTGGCTGTGGGTGGTGCTGAAAATAAGACCAGGGCTCCTGACTCCTAGTGTGTGCCATGCATTAGACTAGACTGTGCATTTAGATTTGTATTTCTCAAAAACTATTAGTAAGCTTAAGTTCCTTTTTTTTTTTTTTTTTTGGTGCACTATAACCTAGAGAAATACGCTCAGGTCCTACAAGCAGTTTCATGATATGCAGCCACTTGTTTCACCATCAGTGTTAAATGGAGATTCCGTTAATGTCTTTTATCTTCGTTGAATGTTTCAGGTTTTCCTCCACCACCAGGCGCTCCACCCCCATCTCTCATCCCAACGATAGAAAGGTAAGTTGCCTGCATGCTGTGCAGTTTTGATTATTGAAGATCATGTATAGAGCTTAGTAATGTTTTCCAAGATTTAATTTTAGAATCCTGGCACTCTAAATTCTTAACTCTAGGTCTGTGTTAATTAGTTTTACATAAGCTGTTGAACATGTGACCTGACCATCAAAACTGCACAAAAAAAAAACAAACTCATAGTCCTTTGAGATCATATGTTGGTTGATTTGGAACACATTGGTGAACAAAACCTCTAGATTGTTAAGGAACTTGGCTGCAGTCAGATTTGTAGGAAGTAAAAGGCTTAGGTTTCTGCAAGTCCTGAGCAGTTCCTGTCTTGGTTAGCGTAACAGTTGCCAGTCCACAGTAGCAAAGAAAGACTGCCTATTCACTGCCACAATGCTGTGTCTTCGACCACCAAGAAGGGGTTGCCGCCTGGTGTGGCCTCAGCCTTATTTCCTGCCCTCCACGCCCCCGTGCTCAGTTCACAGGCACCAGAATGTGCTTGCGAGTGTCTGCCCGTGCGGTGCGGCTGGAGCTGTCACAGCACAGTGTCACTAGACAACGCTTCCGGATTCGCGGGCCTTGGTGTCCTCCTACCCTGTGGATCTCAGAGCAGTGTGTGAATGGACAGCACCAGGCCATTTGAGGCAGGCAGATCCATCAACAAATGGGACCTTTACTTCCTGTTAAATGGCAGATAGTGGCTAAAAATAATGGGTTTCCAAACAAATGATTGATATATAAAAACTGTGAGAGCTTTGTGTCAGTAGGATCAAAGCAGGCTTGGTGTTCAGAGGAAATGGTAAACTTACAGCATGGATTCTGAGTGCTCAAGGACTTAGCTTGGTGAAGTCTTTGTCAGACAGGTGTACTGGTTTTATAGTCAGAAGGCCAGAAAGTGTTGTTTGTAAATTCACCTGTGTTAGGCTTAATGTATTGCAGGTTAAAAATGTGTGCTTTCGTACGTAAAAAGTTGCAATGAATTTGTTAATTAAGTGTTGGCTAAATGCAAGTTTTATTTTTGCCTTGATATAGTTCTTATTTGCATAAAACTGTTACACTTGAGAACTTCCTTGCAACAGATGGGAAAGTACTTTTCTTTCTTCAACAGTGGGCACTCTTCTGGTTATGACAGTCGCTCTGCACGGGCATTCCCTTATGGCAATGGTAAGTGAGGGTGGCTGCCAGCTTCAACTGCTTGGTTTAAAGTAATACCTTAGAAAGACATCTAAACTACTACGAGTAGTACTAACTTGGGTATATGTATCTGCCAGTCAGTTTCGTAGAATCGTTGCCATTTAGTTATTAGTTACTTTTAGAAATGAATAAATGGTGACACAATTAGGGATGTTTGTTCCTTGCCTTTTCCTGGGAAGGAATTGAGGGGTTTATTGCCATGGTGTCTCCGTCTTCTTTGTCGGTGTCTTTTTTGACTTGTGGGATCCACCCAACATTTTTTTTCCCTTGCTAATTTAATTTTCCTTTCTATATTATCTGTGGTTCTCTTCCATGTTCACTCCTGACAAGTTTTTTTGAGATTTCTGTTTCCGCTGTCGGCTTAGATCTTAGAGTGTCCCTCCTCTGGTCCCCTTGTGCCCGCAGCAGGTCCATAACCCTCTGTAGCTGGACCAGACCAAGGTCCCTGAGCCAGAAGCATCAACTTAGACCTCCCAGCATGAGCACTGGCTCCTGTGTTGGTAGGCAGGTAGGCAGACGCAGCGTGCACTATCTGTTAGCCGTTCTGTGGGAATGTCCTCTGCCACTGCCTCCTTCCGTCCCCTCAATGGGTGCTCCTTCCATTTCTAGCCCCGGAAGTTTGGGAATAACTGGGTACAAGTGTGTTGCCTCGAAAGCCACAGTCTGTTGGATTATGTCCTGGGGCACGTCTTGAGGGAAGTACACATGTAAATGTTGATGCAGTTGTTGCAGAGCACATGTGGGATGCTGGTTCATGAGACATTTGTAGCCTTGGTCTAGAAAGAATTGGGGGACAAGTATTTGGGGAAAGAAACAGACCTAGAACTTGGAGAGGGGATTAAGAATATAGTGACCTAACGAACAGATTTTGCCCTTACAGATTGACAAGCTAGCAGTAGGCAGGGAGCAAGAGAAGAAAGTACCCCTGTGTTTGGTGGAGAGCGTGCCTGCAGCAGAGGGCTGGGCTGCCGGGTGGCTTGCCTTTGTCTGCCTCCCTGACACTGCAGTTGAGGGTAGATGTGCCATGTGAGACCAAGCTGAGAGTAACATCTCCCCCCCCCATTTCCTGGAAATTTGTGTCAAACTGGTATGGTCTGTACCTTATAAATGAGTAAATTTAACTGTAAAAGATTGTAACCTTGGTAGAAGATTTTAAATTGCTGATTGATGTTTCTGGTAGTTATGCAACTGTTTATGTAGGTTTCCTTTTCCTCTTGAAATCTCTTTGGTCAGTTTTGTTTTTGGGATTCACCCATTCCAGGTAAGCATGCAGTGCTGTGGTGCGAGGTGTGTCATGTCCGACTTGGCGTCTGCCCTTCCCGCGGCCAGTGGGATTCGTGTACTCTTCTCTGTTTTGTTCACTCTCCGTCAGCCAACTTTAGCTTTCTTTGAAGTTCTTGAATTTTAAGTTTAGCTCATTGCTTTTCAGTCTTTGCTGATGCAGTGTTGAGGACTAAATTTTCCTACTGAAGACCTTACTGATACACCCAAACTTTTCAAATGTCAGCTACTTGTGTTTTGTTTTTTTAATTATTTAAATTAATGATTTCTTTTCCTTCCTAACCTACCTGAAATGTAGGTTTTAATTTGAAATGGATGAGGATATTTTCCTGTAACTTAAATTTTTATTTCTAACTTAAATTGCTTAGTAGTGACAGAATATGGTGTCTCTTATTCTCTGAAATGTATGAGTAATTTTGTTAACAGATTCTTCATATATGTCAGATGCTCAGAATTTCCCTCTTGCTGCATTCTGACCCTTCATGCTACTGTGATTATTGAGGTACTTGAATATTGTTGCATTTCTCATCCTTTCCAAATCTTTCTGAATTGACTTGAGCTTTTCAGGTTTTTTTTTTTTTTTGCATTATTTTTTCAATTGTGAACTTAGGTATTTCTTCCCATGTAGTGGTTACATTTGAAATTTGTACATAAGTAACAGTAAGTCATTAAATGTAGAGAGGTCGGAACAGTCGGCTGGGTGTGCCTTCCGTGCTGATGGTTGGGTTCCATCAGCACTTAGAAGATGGCGCAGTGCACTGTGCTCTACAGGGGCCAGGTGGAGTTTGTGGTCAGCTGCAGGCTGGTGCTGCTCACCTGCTAGGCTGCAGGAGCCTTGCTGTGTGACACTTCTTTCCAGTGATAAAGTAACTTTGCTGCAATGTAATGACACCTTTTTGGTAGGAGTTTCCTCATTTTCTTTTCTAAATGCTGTTTTCATTTGTTGTGTTTTGTTTTTTTAGTTGCCTTTCCTCATCTTCCTGGCTCTGCTCCTTCATGGCCTAGTCTTGTGGATACCAGCAAGCAGTGGGACTACTACGCAAGAAGAGAGAAAGACCGTGACCGAGAAAGAGACCGTGACCGAGAGCGGGAACGGGATCGGGACCGAGAGCGCGAGCGCACCAGAGAGAGAGAGAGGGAGCGAGAGCACAGCCCCACCCCCAGCGTCTTCAACAGGTTGGTGGGGTGTGGGTGTGGGTGTGGGTGTGGGTGGGGTGTGGGTGTGGCTCGTGCACTCTGGGGCATTTCTGCTTGGTGAGCACAGTGAGTTCCACCTTGTTTGAGAAAGCTGCTTTGCAGTCTTCCCGTAAAGGGAATTTTAGGTTTGTAATCAACCCCTTACATAGTTGACAAATAAATTTTTTTTTTAAATATATGTGATGGATTAGAACATGGTGGTATGCCAAATACCATAATCCATTGCTTATAAAATTACATAACTAAGCTTTTTAAACCGCTGGCACACATCTCTGAGTATGTCAGAGCACCTTCGTTCTGTCCCCAGTGGACATGAGGTGTTTCCTACACAGGGCTGGAAAGTGAATGACAGGCCTGTTTCTGGGGAGAGATGCTTGGAGTCTGCTGCAGTATTTTCATAATACACATTTTTTTCTTATTTTTGATAATCTTTACATAGTTAATTAGAGCACGAAGGTTCAAGGGCTACAGGAAAGTGGTTAGGACTATTATTTCCACATTTTTTTTTTCTGTACCTGGGGTAAAAGGGAAGATAAAGAGAGAAACCCCACCCAGTCTCCCACCCATCCCAGGTCCCTGATGTGGGGCATGATCCGAGGGTCTTGCTCAAGTGGTTTTGATATTTCAGCAGTTATGAATTGCTGCCAGTCTCACCGCTTCAAGGATGATGAGGTCGCTGCATAATCCACTGATTGACATAGTCCCCCTTAGAGTCTCTGTTTGCCCAGTTTTTCACTGCTGAGGTAGTTGATTGATTTGGTCTGTCCTCTGTTGTGGTGCATAATACACATTTTTCATGAACTTTTAAAGAACCTGCTTGAATACATTTCAGTTTTGTTTTTGTACCAAAACAAATCTTAACTTTTAATTCTGTTTTCTAGAAGCTTATCTCAAGTAGTGTCATACTCATATAAGGAAAAATATTTTTATAGTTCGGAGAAGCCAGGATTTGCCATTAAATTATGTCTATTTATATAAAATGAGCACTGGTTATATATTGTTTATAAATATATGAATGGTTACAAGTTTGCTATGGCTCTGGCATTCACCTGTTTGAATATGTCTAGACTTCATGCTAAGACAGAAATTAGGTAACTTGACTTTTTGCTTCAGAAGTGAGTGAGTCATCTTATTACAGCTCAGTTACATTGAAAGTGCATAGTTGGAGATTACCTGGTTTTTAGAATATTAATTTCTTTAGGGCAACCATGAAAAAGGATGAGAACCAGGGCTTGGGACAACAGATACAAACTCACGTCATTCCAAAGTGTCTAAAAGTTTGTTATCAGGGCATCAGCAGTATTGATTTTTTTAAAAGATGTGTTTATTTTGATTTGCTGGTTTGCTTCCCAAATGGCTACAGTGGGGCTAGGCCAGGCTGAAGCAGACGCCTGTAGCTTCCTCTGGGTCTTCCATGTGTGGGTGCCTTGAGATTAGGTCATTATGGCTGGCGCAGCAGTTATCAGAGTTACTGCACTTGGGGCACCAGCATCCCATATGGGCACTGGTTTGAGTCCTGGTGGCTGCACTTCTGATTCAGCTTCCTGCTGATGCACCTGGGAAGGCAGTAGAGACTGGCCCAATTCTGGGTGCCTGCACTCACATGGGAGACTCGGAGGAAGCTTCCGGCTCCTGGCTTTGGACAGACCTGGATGCAGCCATTGCATATGAAAGCTCTTTCTGTAGCTCTCTGCCTTCCATTAAAAATGAAGTAAAAAGCCTTATAGAAGAAAATCAGGTAATTAAAACAAATTCTGTGACTTTGTTCTTACCTTCTTTATACCTCTCAGCACATTCTTAAGATGTTTAAACCTTTCGTTTATGTAGTGGACATCAGAGGCTAGGACCAGTCCTGGCTGCGGGACAGAACTACACACAGCTGTTACAGGTGAAAATGGGACGGTTGGTCACTGAGACTCGAAGATAAACAAAACACATTATAGAATGAAGTCAGAACAATTCACTAACTTTTTTAGAAAGCTGTTTTTTGTTTTTTTGTTTTTTGTTTTTTGTTTTTTTTTATTGGAAAGGCAGATATACAGAGAAGAGAGACAGAGAGGAAGATCTTCCGTCCAATGATTCACTCCCCAAGTGAGTGCAACGGCCAATGCTATGCCGATCCAAAGCCAGGAGGCTCTTCCGGGTCTCCCACGCGGGTGCAGGGTCCCAAAGCTTTGGGCCGTCCTTGACTGCTTTCCCGGGCCACAGGCAGGGGGCTGGAAGGGAAGCGGGGCTGCCTGGGATAGAACCGGCGCCCATGTGGGATCCCAGGCGTGCAAGGCAAGGACCTTTAACCACTGCGCCACCGCGCCGGGCCCAGAAAGCTGTTTTTATTTGAGAACCAGTTACGTACAGGTGCTGGGGGAGATCCTCCATCAGGACTCACTCCACGAGTGCTGCAGTGGCCAGAGCTGGGCCAGTCCAAAGCCACGAGCTCCTTCTGCATCTCCTCCACGAGTCCAGGGGCCCAGGCACTTTTCTAGGCACATTAGCAGGAAGCTGAATTGGAAGTGGAGCAGCCAGGGTTTGAGCTAGTGTTCCTGTAGCATGCCAGTGCTGCAGGCAGCTCTACCACCTTGGCCTGTTCCACAGCACTGGCTTCCAGTTTGTCTTTGTTTCCTCCTTTTGTTCTACGTAATGTGACCTGCGTGTAGTAGACTAAGATTTCACTGGCTGTGTAAGTGTTTGGCCAGACACAGGTGTGCATGTGTAACTGTGTGGGACTTTGTGTGCTATTGACTTTGGCCGCTGCAACACGTGGTCCTGATAGTGTGGTTGAAGTGCATGTGTTTGAGACAGCACTGCTCTAGAATGTTCATGTGTATTAGGAAGTATTTCTTGCAAAACATGTTAGAAAAATTTTTGATGTAAACGCACAATGTTTATAAATAATTGGGAGCTGAATTTTTTTGATTCCTCTATTTCCAATTCACATATGCACAGATACTACAGAGTTTTTATTGAAATTTTAAAGCATTGTCCATCATTAACCTGGGTTTGATTTTCATGTTACTCAGCTTTAGGGCATTAGGAGTCAGTGTTTACTTAAATTGGCTAGTAATTTAAGGCAAGAGATAAGGAAAGTTCTATGTTTTGCATTATCTGAGGAAAAGATTGGACTCTAGAAAATCCAAATGAAGTTTAAAGACTTTGTTTCAGAAGACTGACAAAAATGTCTAAAAAAGCAAAATGATATGTAGTATTTGCTGAGTTACAAATTACAGGGTCATTGTTTTGAAAATTACAGACCCATTTCCACATCTGTTTTTAAACAGTTTAATTGAATGCCCTGAAAGGGCTGGACAATGTAGGGTGGTTAAAGTGAGCCCTAATGGTTTCCAGGCTCTGAGCAGCTGCTGTGTGCATCTTGGAGCTGGAAAGGGTCTGCAGCAGGCCTGCCCTGAGCAGGTCCGGCCAGCGTTCCTCTGTCCCACCACATGGCTGCCTGCACACTCTAAAAGTCCCAAGCCAGGGCAGAACTGGTTTTAGGGAAAGTGGGTATAAAAGGGTTATGAATGACCAACTAGGAGTGGGTTATCCTTAATGGTGAGTTCGGGGCGGGAGGGCGTCACGTCAGAGCAGTTTGTGATGGTGTCATCTCTGTTGCCGAGACCTGGTAACCTTGCAGCATCCGTAGCCTGCCCTCAAAACTGTTCTGAGGTGTCCAGCTCAGTGGAGACTGCCCCTCAGGGAGCTCCCACTCTTGTACCGAGTACGTTACGTTATACAGAGACTTTGAACAGACTTGGTCCATGTGTCCGTGTGCTTGAGTGGCTTATCCGGTTGCTTCATTCAGACTTAACAACTTGATATTCCATACAAATGGCTCATATGATTTGTAGTAGACATATTTCTGGAAACTTAATGCTATTCAGCGTAGTCTTTTGAAAGAATGTGTTCTAAGTGAGAGAATTCACTGATGTAAGATTGTAGGAAGTGTGAACTTAACCAGGAAAAAAAGGAAAGAAAAAGAAACCTGGGGATTAAGGGGGAGAGGAACGCCCCAGGACTTAGGACAGCAGGCACAGCAAGGTTAAGGAAGACCAGCTCTGACTTCAGTGTCCTTTCTGCTTTTACTAGTTCATGTGATTCTACCCAAAATAGGAAGAGAGGTGCAGGGTGAAATAGAGGTGACGTGGGACCCAAGTGTGTCATGTCTGTGCTCGGTCCGTATTCTGGAGGAATTGTACAAGTCCCTTCCGTGTCTCTCTCAGGTTCTCTATGTATTTGTAAATGGTAAGTCCAAGGTTAGAGAGCCTTTACCTGTTGGTTTACTTGTAGCCATTCGGAGCCATGTGTTTCTGCAGTCAGAACTGTGTGTGCCCAAGATTTATGAGTAATATAGAAGTTTTGGTTAGAAATCTGAAATACACACATGTGCTTTTAATTGTAAAAGAAGGAAATGAAAATGAAGCTGTTGATTAAAATTTAAATATAGATTTTTTTTCTTGAAGGAATAAAAGATTTTGATTTCTTCTTCTCTTAACTTTGCCTTTCAAATTAATAAATTGCAAAGGATAGTAGTGGCACTGTGGCACCATCGGCTAAGCTGCCACATGCCTAATTGGCATCCCTTGTCGGCAATAGTCTGAATGCCAGCTGCTCCACTTCTGATCCACTTCCCTCATTTGTGGCTGGGAAAGTGTACCCACATGGGATACCCAGATGAAGCTCCTGGCTTTGGCCTGACAATTTAGGGGATGAACCAGCAGATGGAAGATTTCTCTCTTTTCAGTAATTGCCTTTCTCTAACTAACCAAATATACAGATCTTAAAAAGTAAAAAACCAAGTAGGAGTGGGCACCTAGCCTAGAGATTAAGATGCCCACTGTCCATCTCGGCACTCCTGGGTCCTTGTCCTGGCTTCGTTTTTCTGAGAGAGACTGTCTCTCGAAGGAATGTTTGAAACACTGCCCCGTAACTGCTGTGTCTTCCTCATTAGCAGGGTAGCACAGAACAAATGTGCCTGGACTGTGTGTTGTGTTTACTTAGCTCTAGTACTCGGCGAGCAAGCATCTTGTTACTCAAGTCGGTCACTACTTCCCTTTTCCCAGATGCCGACGTGGTGGCTTCTGGTTCGTAGTGTAGGGTCTCTGTGACACATTCCGGTTGTCAGGAGAACTTGCTTTCACTTTCAGTGATGAAGAGCGCTACAGATACAGGGAGTATGCAGAGAGAGGCTACGAGCGGCACCGGGCGAGTCGGGAGAAAGAAGAGCGGCACCGGGAGAGGCGGCACCGGGAGAAGGAGGAGACCAGACACAAGTCGTCCCGAAGGTTTGCTCTCAGCCCGGCAGGCTGGGGAGAGTGATCGGGCTTCTGTGCACCAACACAAGTGTCTCAGTGGTCCCTGGAGTAGACAGATTCCTCTTGGGAAATGTCACAGTATCTGTTGAAATAGGTGGTTCCTCATGTGATGTTCCCAAACCAAAGTTAATATGGAGGAAAGAAGCCCATCTGAGAGGCTTTGGGTTGCAGCATTGTCTCTCTGGGAGAGGGAACCAGTGGTTGGTTGGTAGTAAAGCAGCGTCTGCTTCTAGGGCCTTACAGTAGCAACAGGAACCAACGTACTACAGGTCAACCTGTCAGATGCCCACTGCTGACTGAGCACCTCAGTGCCCACGTGGTCGAGAGTCTGATTAGAAAGTGTGTGGGCACTGGGAATCCTGTCTTGTAATTTCTGCATCATAGTCACATTAAAACTGATGGTATTCATGAAAATGTATGAGGAGCACAAGTGGATTAGATGACCTTCAGTCCAAGCATTGTGTTGAGAATTTAGGATGGCTGATTTTATCACAAATGATGAAATTAAACATTCTTAAACAGAACACACTTTTTTTTTCCCTGCAGCAACAGTAGACGTCGCCATGAAAGTGAAGAAGGAGACACCCACAGGAGACACAAGCACAAAAAGTCTAAGCGCAGCAAGGAAGGGAAAGAGGCCAGCGGCGAGCCCGCCCCCGAGCAGGAGGGCGCCGAGGCCGCGCCTGCTGAGTAGGCACGGCCAGAGGCTGTAAATCTTGTTATTTTTCTGGATAATGTTTAAGAAATTTACCTTTAATCTTGTTCTGTTAGTATGGAAAGTTAAAATTTTTTTCCAAAATAAAAGTCGATTTTTCAAGTTAAGTTAAAAATCTTTGTCATGTGATGTATAAGAATAAGCCAATAGCCCTGGCATCACATTCGGTGAGGGAGCGTGAATGAGTCGTTAGCAGGGATCTGCAGAGCATTTAGTGTCTGGTGTGTACAATGTCTGCACAAGATGCAGGCTGCCTGCTGGCCACACTGCTGGTTCCTGGTGCCTCAGAAGGGATCCAGCCCCTTCCCAGGCGGCCTTTCGAGCTCTGCTGTGGCGTTCCTGCTTGACATCATTCAGGCCCGTCACCCCTGTCGGACATCAGGCTCACATCTGCTGCTTTACTGCCTGACTACCAGCAGCAGCCTAGGCTGCACCAAGGAGAAATCGGGAGCCAGGAACTCAACCCAAGTATCCCACCTGGGAAAACCAAACCATCCACAGTCTTCCAACAGACATTAGCAGGAAGTTGGGGTCAGGAGCTGCAGGCAGAAACGGAACCCAGGCCCACCACCTGGTGTCTTGACTGACATGCCTAAGGCCCACCCATCAGACTTTTGGTGGTGGGCTATTAGTGCCCTGACCTCGGGTTCTTGGGGAAACTAAATTCTCTCATCTGGAAGGCATTGGGCAGCCTCTGAGGTGACTTGTGTTAAGTGTGGTTTCTTCCAGGCCCATGTTTCATCCTTGATCGCTATGACAGGTTTGAATCCCCTCTTGCCAACTTGGAGAGGGCTGAGCCCTTCCGCCTTGCTGGATGTATTTCCCAAGGCTCATGGGAGAGCCGCAAGTGCAGCACCCCAGCGTCACTGGTTGTGCTGTGAGCAAAGCTGAACCTCACGGCGAGCTCTAGGTTACTCATTTCTTACTAAAGGCAAGAGAATGCACTTGTCGGGGTGACCCTGGGAGATTATGTGTCAGTCACAGTATCAGGTACATGGTATTTGAAAGAATTACTGGTTTCTTCTAAATGGTGGTGACAGAAGTCAACTTAATTAGCATCACATACAAATGACAACTATGATTTCTGGGAAAGTATTTATTTCTCATTTGATGAAAGGAATGTTTCTCAGTGTGTTTTAAATTTTTTAAAATTTCTCTTTAAAAATGTGCATAATATACCTTTTGCTGATCTCTGCATAAACCCAAATTAATCTGAATTGATCTGAATTCAAGGGGGCAATTCAAACCATGTTAGGTACTTGAGAACATTTGCTGAGTCAAAAAGACAAGGTTGAGTCAAGTAAGAGACTGCATTATAGCATGGACCAGTTGGTGGTCATTTTTAATTTTTGAGAGTTGTATTTCCCAAAGTGCAAATGGATTTTTTAAATTAAATTATGCTTTTCTTGACACTTTAACAGTATACTCTTTAAATATAAAAATGAACAAGATAAATAGTCTGTTTCAATTTAGCTTGGCTGTGACTTTCCTGTGACCCATGATGGATCCTACAAAAAAGTGCCAGGCCAGGAAGCCAGAGTGAGAGTGATTCTTCCTTTTAGTTCTTTGAGCATCCGGGCCAAGCAGGTGTGCGTCATTCCCGAGGTACTTCTGCCGTTGACCGCGAGGAGAATGTCGCCACACCTGAACAAGACAATAGGGGGCAGGATCAATGCTGAAGTCATGCTAATGGATCTAAGTGGCCCTGATGTCTGCTAGGCCTGTCGGTAGTAATTACATTACTGGAGGATTTCCTGTCCTCCCTTACTTTCATGCCATTGTCTGAGAAGGGTGGGCAGCTGCAGTGTGGGGCTGAAGGCATGCAGGATTCTGTGGTGATGCCAGATGCTGTGGAAATGTCTGTTTCTCACACTCCCTTCTTCCATAAATGAACACCATACCTTAGTTCAGATGAAACCAAGGTTGTACATCTCTGAAACAAACCACTTGAATATAAGCTTTTGTCAGGTGGTCATGATTCTTACCTAATTCTTCCGTCATTGTACGCTGGTGTGCCTTCCACGAGGGATTTGATGAAGAAAGGCTTGTGCCCGCTGTGTTCCTCATAGCCGCCCACGATGCAGAAGCCGAGGCTGCCCGCCGCATTCCTCCGCAGCACGACGTCTTTGCAGTTACACAGGTGCCTGCAACAGGACACATGGAGGGGATGCACCGTTCAGTGTAACTTGGCTACAGTGATTGCGCCTTTGCCTCCCACTCCTTCTACAGATGTATTTAAAGGTGAAGTAGCCCTGGACAGGTCCCACCCAAATGTGCTTCACAGCTCAGCAACTTGTTGTTGGCTGACTTTGTGATTGATCGTTTTTGTTTCCGAAGCTGTTAATGCTTTAGAAAGTGACACCGCCGGTTACACTCTGTCTGTGCACCGATTAGGAAGGATAATCCTATCTGGCTTAGAGAAGCCTTAGTGCCTAATTTTGGCTTAGTGAAAAGTTGGGAATACCTAAATCCTCACTGACTAAAGCAAATTAAGTATGGGCATATTTTTGTTCTGAGTTAAATTTCTAAAGAAGGCAGAGATCCTTGGAACAAATCATCCATCTCAATGACAATTTAAACCTAATTAATGAATTTGTGGAAGAGTTTCCAACCTTTGGAAAACACTGCTCCTTACCTAGTTGTGCATGTTTGGCCAGTTAGAAGTGTGCAGCTGTAATGTGAATGGGAATTGCACATTGAGGAAAAGCTAAACCGACATAAACTGATGAAGAGTGGAAGGAGGGAATGCAGCATTGGTCTAAGTGGCTGGAGTCCTCACTTAAATAGCAGATGAGGTCACTGGGCTAGTGTGCTCAGGGTGTGGGGCACCTTATGGACACGGTGTCCCTGGTGCCGTGGAGCTGCAGCTCAGAAGTTAGCCCTTACTCCCGGGCCCTATGTCCTACTGTGTGACCTCCTGAGAGGAAATGAGCATTTTCATGTTAATAAAATGACTGTTTATAAACTGTACCTTCAAATAATAACCCACCGTTTTTTGAAAGTCAATAAAAGTCTCTTGTGAATAAGTGAAGTTGGTCATTTGTCTTGGACCTTGCTAGCCAGTGTAACTTTTTCAAGCTGTTGCTCATACTCAGTTGAAATAAAACCACCTCTGGGGTTTGATGAATATCTTTCAAATGCACTATTGTATGTGTTACCATATATATCACAGTGATAGATTTTTTGTGGAAGTGATAGCTAAAAAACATGAATTTTATAAAATGCAAAGCAACTTATTTTGATGATTGATCTGCTGTGATTCACAACAAGCCTTGATGCCACTGAGAGTTTCTTCCTGTGGAAGCCCAGGCTTTGCACATGCACGGAGGAGGTCCTGGGCTGTTCCCTTTCCCAGTGGGGAACCTTGGGCCCCCTTTCTCGGGAAGGAAGCTAAGTAAGTAGTTAGATGATGCTTTTCTGAGTCCTGATGAAACGTCTCAACACTTGCCAGATGTGGTGCCTGGACTAAATGGGTCACGGAGCAGTACTTGCGACTGTCCGTGTTGCTCATTCTTGTGACCGTGGCTTTGTTTCTTCCTCTGGGGCCTCCTTTATTCTAGTTCTCCATAAAAGTCATGTTTTTATGAACTGCAGTTGCACCTCCATGCAATGCAACACTAGAACTTAGTCCTCTACAACTTTTCTTGCTGTAGTTGTCCTTCTCGCCTCCCCCCAGGTTCTTGATGATCCCTAATTTACTTTCAGATGGCCTCTTTGGCTCCTACACGGCCGCTCTGGCTCACTCCCCTGGGGCAGGCGAGCATGGCTGAAGAATGCTCCGTTCTGTACATTGCCTACATTTCTGAAGCCATTTCAGTGGACATCCAGGCTGATTCCACATCTGTTACCGAGCGCTGAGCCGTCAAGGTGGGGCAGCTGCGCCTGCTCTTTGAGGAACCTCTGGCACTATTCTTTTGCCTTCCCAACAACAATGTGTTAAAATTCCATTTCGTCTGCAACGACTAGCACGTTTTCGTAGCTATTATAACTAGGGGAAGATGATATTTCATTGTTTGGTTTGCATTTTACTGCTGGCCAGGGACATGGAGCATGCTTTCCTACATTTGTTGGCCATTTTTCTTCTTTTTTTTGAGAATTGTCTTTGGATCCTTCTACCCATTTTTAAATAACATTTTTTTGTTGTTTCTTGAGTTTCTTACATATTTTGGATAATAATCGTTTGTCAGATGTTGACTTTTTAATCCATTTGTTTGCTGTACAGAAGCTTCCTATTTTGATGAGAGCCCATTTGCTGTTATTTCGTTTTTTGGGGGGAATTTACCCCCAAAACTGCCTGTATTGAAATCTTGGAAGTATTTTTCACTATGTTTTCTTTTAGTAGTTTCATAGTTCTTTGATTCATTTTTTTAAAAAGATGTATTTATTTTTTTTTTGTAAAGGCAGAGAAGGACGGACAAATCTTTCTATCTGCTGGCTCATTCCTTAAATGGCCACAAGGGCCAGAGCCAGGAACTTATTCCATAATTTGCCCGTGGGGCCATCTGCTGTTTTCCCAGGTGCATTAGCTAGGAGCTGGATGGGAAGTGGAGCAGCCAGGACTCAAACCAGCACCCACATGGGATGCCGGTGCTCCTGGCAGAGGTTTAGCTGGCTATAGACCAGGGCCCCAATCTGATCCGTTTTGAGCTTACAGATGAGAGGTGGCGTGTGTGTCATGTTTCAGCTTTCAGCAAATAGATACCTAGTTTGCCCAGCACTGTCCCTTGAGGTGGTTTTGTGCTCTGTCCCATTGGTGCGTCAGCACCGTGCTGTTCTGACTGGCTCTGTGGGCTGGGCGGCATCACAGTACTTCCACGTGCAGTGCTGCTGTTGCTGAAGATCGCTTGGCTCTTCAAAGTCCATTGGTTCTGTGTGAATTGTAGGATTTTTTTTCCTGTGAGGAATGTCTGCTATTTTGATGAAAGTATGTTTTATTTGTAAACATGTTTTTTGGGTCATTTGGACATTTCTAACAATTCATTCTTCCAGTGCATAAACAAAATTTTTCTCATTTGCGGGTCTTTTAATTTTGGGAATCATTTGAGAATGGTTGGAGCTGTTTGGTAGAATTCAGCAGTGTGGCTTCAGGCCCTGGAAATTTATTATCAGGATTTATTTTTATTTAAAAGGCAAAGTTAGAGATCTTGTATCCACTGGTTTTCTCTCCAAATGGCTTCAGTGGTGGAGCTGATTGGAAGTCAGGAGCCAGAAGCTTCCTCCGGGTTTTTCACATGGCTGCAGGGTCCCAAGCCTTTGGGCCGTCCACTGCTGTTTCCCCAAGCCAAAAGTAGGAGGCTGGAATCCAGGACATGAACTGGTGTCCATGTGGGATGCTGGCACCACAGTTGGAGACTTGCCTAACTATGCCACAGCACCAGCCCCATGGATTTTATTAGACCTTGAGTATGGATTCAATGTCATTGCTAGTTTTGGATCTAAGTTTTCCCCCTGTCTTCATGCTTCAATTTTGGTAAGCTGTGTTTTGGAAAACTTAGTGGTGAGTGTTGTGTAGATCCAGCTGTTCCACTCTGATCCAGCTCCTGCTAGTGTTCATGGGAAAGCAGCAGAGGCTGCCCAGTTGCTTGGGCTCTTGCACCCATGCAGGAGAACCAGAAGGAACTCTGGGTCCTAAGTTAATCCTGGCACAGCACTGGCCATTATGGCTATTAAGAAAGAGAACTAACAGAGAGAATGTGTGTGTGTCTTTATCTCTAAATATCCCTTTCTAATAAGTATTTATGAAAGTAAAATTTAGGGGCCAGTGTCATTGGCATATCCTATGGATGCCAGTCTGAGTCCTGGCTGCTCCACTTTCTACCCACTTCCCTGCTAATGTCCTGGGATTGCAGCAGAGGATGGACCACGTCCTTGGCCCACGCACCCATGTGGGAGAACTGGAAAAATCTCCAGGCTTCAGCCTGACTTAGTTCCAGCCATGGCCACCAGTTAGGGAGTGAACCAGTGGATGGAGGATCTCTCTCCTCTCTCTTTAACTCTGTCTTTCAGATAAAAATATTTTTTAAAAAATTACAGAGGCATTCAAAATAATCTGAATTTTGTCATAGTAAAAAAATGTAAGCCTGTTTTCATTAGTCAAACATAAAAATACGCAGTACAGTGTTTACCGGACACTGAGTTATTGAGTATTAAAACCTGCTTCCTTAGTTATTTCCCTGCATTCATGAAAAGTGCTGAAACTTCATATTGAATGTCTCTGTGCACACTTGGCGTACAGTCTTGCTCTGTGGGTTTAGTCCAAGGAGATGGCTTACCTTGTGGCTGGATGACAGTGCCGCCTGCACTGGGTAAAGGGTCTTGAACTTATTGCTACCACACTAAGACAGTCTGCTCTTGCAGAGATGGTCATCAGAATGGAGAAAACATTTTACAGCAGTTTTAGTGAGCCTAGGATTTTAAGCATTTGGGCAAAATGAAGCAAGTGATTTAACTCCAAAATTCATCTTTTGTCACTCCACAGTTACAGTGCTTTGTCCTGTGAGGTTGTTACCACGTTGAATGCTGTCTCAAATGCAGTTCTGGATGCATGCATTTCCTGTGTGGAAAGCAGAACATTCTGTCCAACCTGGAGTTTTCTCGCTGATGACTTTGAGCAGACAGGCACAGCCACACCTGTCACTCACTTTTCTGATCACTGTTGGTGAGTGGCATCATAACAAGGTGTGGAAATTCGATTTGCCCTTTCATCTGGTGGCCACTGAAAAACACCTTTCCTTGCTTCCTTGTAGAAATGCTCTGTAAAGTCCCAGAAGATAACCTGACAAGTTTGTGAGTTTGGCCCCACAGCTTTCAAAAGTTGGAACCATACTTGGTGCCCATGTTGCAGAGAGCAGTAAGGGCTCCAGCGGTGGCTTGGGCCTTTTCTTGGAAGTAATCCTGTGGTGTGCGGTCACAGTCCTTAATGAGAGACCTCAGCACGTGATAGAGAGTTCGCTAGACTGGAGTGTCTTGGCCTCACACAGCTCAGAGCGTCCCAGTCGGCAAGCACGTTGATGAGTTCTGCTGACCTATGTCCCCCAGGAGAGGGCTGTGCCTTGTGACTTCATGCAGTGTGGCCCCTTGCCCATGGACAGTCCCTGTAGTTACCATTCTTGCGGGTGCACCCGTGGCACATCCTACCCAAAACACAAACTGGCAGTTGACTGGCAGCATAAATATTCAGGATTGCATTGTATACAACCAGCTGTGCTTGCTGCGAAAAGCTTTAAGAATTCTCACATATCTTGATCATGGTTAGCTCACACATGTACTAAAAGATGTCTTGGAATAAGAATCATCATATTAGAGCGTAGATGGTGCTGCAGGCCTTGTGTTTCCGAATCTGTTTTCCTTCTCACAAGTCGTGGAATGTGGTATATTTTTGCCACAGAATCACCAGCTGTTTCCACGGAAACCATTCTAAACAGATAACCTTGGTGAAGTGTATGTACATTTTGGTTGTAGACAGAATACTACCTTAGTATAAGCCATTCCACAAAGTATTACTTATGTGTCTTGGACTGGGAGCTGCTTGTGATGACTTTAATGCTCTCTTCAAGAAAATAGTTCGTGTTTGAACATCTACAGTGGCATTCATGGTTTCATGGCTTCATTAGTCACCAGGTCCCTGCTAAGGTTTGTACACCTAGTGAACAATTCCAGCTATGAGGCTATGTTGTATAGATGGGTAAAGCATATGAATTCTCGTTGTTTTTAGATCACTGAGATCTTCTGAGATTATTCTTTTCCTTTCAGAAAAACTATGTCTTGTCTTCATACCAATCCAGTGACATCTGATTCACTAGCAGTAAATGGGTAATTCTCTAATTTAGCTTCCCATGTTGAACCGTATTTAAGAGTGAGTTTGATTCCAGCTTTGACTGATTATAGAAGCAAGGTTTAAGAAGCACCCTTTCAGTCTGAGATCTCTGACAATGTGGTTACAGCAGGACGGTCCCCCTGGGTCACAGAGTGGCAGGCAGGCAGGTGGCACAGCAGGGGCTCTGCGCCCCACTGGCAGGCCAGTGTACCAACACCAGGCTTGCGGGACGTGGCCACCTCGGGCTGCTCCCAGAGATCTAAGCAACCTCAATTTCTGCACTTGGTGCAGGCCAGATACACAGGTGTGCATCAGCCGTCATTGCCTGTGCTCCGGGTGATCTCGGAAGACGTAATTTACATGGGACACACTGCACAGTCCCTTTAGAAGAGTTACTGATGAAGAAACTTGGAACAGAAGGTAAACCTACAAATCCTCTCAGGGAGGTTGGTTTGTGGCAGCCTCTGTCCCCCACGGTCCTCACCACGGTTGGCTGTGACCCCTGGCC